CTTGGCAGAGATGAGTGAGTGCCCCCTGTGCCACCTCACTTTCTTGAAAGATTTCAATTTTTATTCCATCAATTCCTGGTGCCTTGTTCTTTGCCAAGTCCTTCAATGCACCTTGGACTTTCTCCTTCAGTATAATTGACTCTTGATCATGTGCTACCTCTTGAAACGGGTGAACATTTACTAATTCCTTTTGTTACAGTGACTCTGTGTATTCTTTCCATTTTCTCTTGATGCTTCCTTCATCATTTAATAATTTGCCCAAAGAATTTTTCAATAACGAAAGTCAAGGCTTGAATTTTTTCTTCAGTTCCCCCAGCTTGAGAAATGCTGAGCGTGTTCTTCCTTTTTGGTTTTCTGATCCAGATCTTTGCACACTTTGCTGTAATATTTGGCTTTATCTTCTCGAGCTGATCTTTGAAATTTTCTGTTCAGCTCTTTTACCTCCTCATTTCTTACATGTTTATTTGTTGCTTCTTAGGAGTCCTGGTGTGACCTGTGAGTTAATGCCCTGGATTGAAAAGTAGGTTTGAACCACAAGGTCGGTGGTTCAAGCTCACCAGCTGCTTCTTGGAAACCCTGACTCCATGCCATTTAACAACAAAAAGGTGCCAGGCACTGCAGTAATTTAGTGTGATTGTCACATTTAATCTCTAAGCCCCATCAGCCAGATGTTCTTATCTTTATGCCATAGTGAGGAAACAAAGATTCAGAGAGGTTAAGTGACTTGTCCATCATGCTAAATGCTAGAAAGCACTAGGGGTAGGGTGTGAATTCAGGCAATCTAACTTCAGAACTCATATTCCAGATTTAAGAAGTCAGTGACTTAAGAAAGTAGGTCAGATGAAAGTTTCCTTTCTGGCTCCATTTTCCACTGATGTTCCCCCTCTCGGTACTGGGGGAGCAGAGTCCCACCCAAAAGGTATCCCTATTTGTTCACCACCTGAGCACTGTATTTTCTTCGGCCCTTGTACACCCTCCCAAAAGAGCCTTCTCCAATCATTTCCAACACGTGGTACTTTTCCATGACAGCAGTCTCAGGATCCCGCAAAAGGAAGGAAGTAGAGATGGTGGTGAAGGGTTACAGTTTCAGGACGTGTTGTGCACATCTGGGAGACCTAGTACAAACATAGGGAAAGGGTTGATGTCAGCTGCCTTGCCTTTTCCTCACTTTCACAATAATCTAGGCCTCAAAAATATGAGAGGGTAGAGTGGATGGAAAGAACAGAGGATGAGTACTTTGAAAGGTAGGCCTCTTAGAGCTCCTTCCCCTTTCCAGTCTCCAGTCCCCCAATCCCGCAAATCTAGTCTCACCCACCCAATCCCGACCCCACCCCCCTCAACTCCGCCTTGCCAACAAGACCCTGCCTCTGCCCTTCCCCTAGCTTCGCCCACCCGAGCACTCCCCCTTCCACCCAGCCTCAGCCTCTGACCCCACGCTGTTCAACCTAGACTTGCTCACCCGTCCCCGCCCCTTACCAGCATCCCAACCTCTTCGACACGCTCACCCACCTCTCCTTGCGTACACACACCGCCAGCCCGAGCCCCTCTCATCTACAGCCTAGGAGCCTCAAGCTCCTCAGACCGAGGGACGCCGGCCCTGGCCTTCATCCCGCCCCCTCTGGCTGCCTACGTACTTCGCCTGACTTATAAGTCTCCTCCACCCGCACTTCCGGTCTCTTTGAACGCCCATTCCAACCTGTCTTACTCGCTACAACTGGACAGAGGCTCGGAGGACAAAAGCGTTCAGCTGTGTGGAAGACACGGTGGACTTCCCATAAGCACTTCCTAGAGCACTTCCGAAGCGACTCTTGGCTATTAGGTCCCACTAAGGACCCGCAGTCTGCGGTTGCCTAGAAACGGCTACTAGCTTCTCTCCTTATCTCCCTTAGATTTCCGCCTCCGATCTCCCCAAGAGTATTTCCGGTTCCGGCTGTAAGCCGAAGTCGATATGGCTGTTTGTGCGTCTGTGTCGACCGCTGCCGGGGAAGAGCACTGGTAACTTTTGGGTATAGACTTTGGCCGGCCGCCCACCTCCTATCCGAGGGACTAATGGCGGCCGCGGAAGGTCTTTCGGGCGGGCATATGGGGTGGAGCGGGAGATGACAGCCAGCAGGGACGCTGACATCGCTCCCTAGGAGAGCCTCTGGACTGGGGAGCGGGTGGATGGAAAGGCACTGGCGTGAGCGAACACAAAACCAAGCCGCGCCGTATCTGGTTCAGTCCCTTTTCCGACCCTGTTCTTCTCCTGAAGCAGATTTCCTCAGGGATCGGTGGGATGCCTGCTAACCAGACCTCCCACATCCCTTTTACTTCCAGCTTCCTTCTCCCTTCACCTTTGCATCTGCCTTTTCGTCCCGAGGCCTTCCTCAGTCTTCCATACTGCTCTCATGAGGACTATTGTCTGAATAAAGCTATACACTTCCCAAAAAGCTCTCTTAATCCTCTCTCAGCATTCTTATTAAAAAACAAAACAAAGAAAAAGACCTGGAAGGATTCTAAAATTTGGAAACGGTAAATAAATACAGCTTTGCTCCGCATTTTACTAGCTATGTGATGCTGACCAGGCCGCTTAGCTTCTGTGAGTCAGTGTGGTCAACAAACAATACAAGAAGTGGGTGTGGCATCTACTTTCTAGAATAATTGAGAGATCAGAATGTATTTGTAACATACATAAGCCTCCCTTTCATTAAAGATCTTTGCTACGATACAGGCAGCTGAGAAAAATAGATGTGGACCCAAGAGGTAAAGTAAGTTGCCAAAAGTAAATATTTGCAACTAGAATCTAGATCTAACTTCACCTCTTACATTCTTAGTACGAAGATCTTCTATTGTTGTTGTTATGTGCCGTGGAGTCAGTTCTGACTCATAGCAACCCTGTATAGGGTTTCACCCTGTATAGGGTTTCCAAGGAGCTCTGGTAGCGTAGTGGTTACGAATCGGGCTGCGAACCTTAAGGTCAGCGGTTCGAAACTACCAGCTGCTCCGCGGGAGAAAGATGAGGCTTTCTACTCCCGTAAAGATTTACACCCTCGGAAACCCTATACAGGGTCGCTATGGGTCGGAACGACTCAATGGCACATAACAACAACAACATAGGGTTTCCAAGGCTGTAAATCTTTATGGGAGCAGAAAGCAGAAAGCCTCATCTTTCTCCTGCAGAACAGCTGGTAGTTTCAAACTGCTGACCTTAAGGTTCGCAGCTCGATTCATAACCACTACGCTACCAGAGATCCTTATAAGATCCTCTTTAGTCCCTTTTTATTTCACCACCTCACAAGGGCCCACATCAAAGTAAGAGTGGATAAAGTGTTGACAGGCCTTCTGACTTGGGTAGCCCAGCCAGTGCTGGCCTCCACTGAGACCATGTGGCTATGGTTTCAAACTGTTCTGAGGAACTTTAGAATTTTCCGACATCTTGAGCCATGGAGACCATAGCAGTGGCGGCAACTAATCGGAATCTCCCACTACTGTGTCTGTCTGTTTTATGTTTGGAGGTTTCTGTCTAAGACTGAAGAGTGTTGGTGGTACAGTGGTTAAACACTTGGCTACTAACCAGAAAGTGGGCAGTTGGAATCTACACACAGGAATTGCAAGCCATTCCACTGGAGAAAGATGTGACCTTATGCTTCTAGAAAGATTTACAACTTTGGAAGCTTTATGGGGCAGTTTTATTCTGGCCCTACTGCATCAGTAAGAGTTGGAATCCACTGAATGACAATGGATTTGTTTGGCTTTGTGCCTAAGATTTAAAGAAAAAGAGAGAGAGAAAGAAGGCAGTCATTTTGTAGAATACTAATATTATAGGCCAAGCTAGAAGAGTCATGCTATTGGTGAAGAGGAAACCGAGTTTGAAACGATTGGAAAGCAAACAAAGCATGCATTGCCGGGGTAGAGTTGTGGATTCAAACCAACCACACATCAATGTTATTATAATTACCATTTGTGATCAGTGTGTGTGCCCTCTGACTTATAATAGAACCACTGGATGCTGACTTGGACAGGATAATATTACAGCCAAGGTCATAAATATATCCAGAATACTCTGCCAACTCCATCCTTCCTTCTTTCCTTTTAAGGGAGAAGGTTATATACAAGGGGAAAAAAAAGGAGGACGTAAATATGACCCAGATACTGTGAGGTACTTTGAATAAGCAAATCCCCTTTATTCCTCATAATAAACCACAACATCGGTGGTTCAAACCTACCAACCGCTCCTCGAAAACCTGTACAGGGGGCACTATGAGTCGGAACCAACTCGACAGCACTTAAGAACTGACTCATGGTTCTTCCTCTACAACATAGCTTTTATACCACCTACACCTGTTTGGTTCAGGTTGGTATCTCCTTTAAAATGTTAGTGTGTAGCGTAATCAGCGCACTGTCTGGGCCCCACAGTGATCCGTGTGAGGAAGGCAGGCATGGTACTGCTAACCTTAATGCTGATGAATGGACCAGAGATCTAGCTGCTAAGTGACTACCAACAGCTGGGAAGTTGGGAAACCTGGTTCTGATCTCACTTATGCCTCCTACTCCTTGAGATTTGGACTAGTCATTTCACCTCTTTGGGAGTCTGTTTTCTCATCTTTGTCAGAAATGAACTCTAAAGTTCTGAATCCATGCTTTCTACCTGGCCATTTGACACCTTCCACCTATACGCTAAAGGAGTTGAGCGTGAGAATACATTGGGGCAGATTGTCATTTTCTGTAAAGCCAGCCTTCAGTGGCTTTAGCAACAAGGAGAACCATAATAGTCAGGCAGTCTCCCCCTGTCTCTCTAGGGCCCTTCCCTCTGAAGTTGAAGTGTTAGAGTCTATCTATCTGGATGAACTACAGGTGGCTAAAGGAAATGGAAGGTACGTATCCAGCTAGGGGTGGGCAGTTGTCTGAAGATGAGAGGGTTTCATTCAGAGTCTGGACTTAAGTCACTGTGAACCTTGATTCAAAACTAATGTTTCTGTCATGAAGAAAAAGGCTGTTCCTTTCCCTCTCTTAAAAGCCAGAGTCCAATGCTCACTTCCTCTGCCCCTTTACTGGTACATCCCCATCTGCCCAGTCCTATCCCATGTCTTCCCTTCATCCACCTGCAGAGCTTCACCATGGGAGATCTGCATCACCCTACACCCCGCCACTGCGGAGGACCAGAACTCACAGTATGTCTGCTGCTCTCTGGTGCTTCAGGTCCCAGCACAGGTGAGGCCCCTAGTCTGGGACACCAAAAGGAGGAGGAGGAACGGGAGAGGACCTGAGGTGGAGCACTTCAGACATAATTTGCTATTTTCCCCACCAGTATCCCAATGAGGTGCCACAGATCTCTATCCGTAACCCCCGAGGGCTCTCAGATGAACAGATCCATACGTAAGTTGGACGGGTTGGAACTGGGGAAACAGGATTCACCTCTGCCTGGTGAAGCCCTGATGTTTGGGTTGCCCTCTTTCCTCCAGGATCTCACAGACTCTGAGCCAGGTGGCCAAGGCCAGTCTTGGCACTGCCATGCTGTATGAACTCATTGAGGTAAGTGGTGTGCTGTGCTAGCCTGGGGAAATGTCCTTCCCTCAAGCTAGAGCAGTTTCTTTCAAGGGAATCCATGGGCCTAGAACCTGAAATCTATCTGGAGTCACTTTATCTTGTTATTACTTAACCACCAACCAGCTGCTGCCAAATTTACTCCAACTCATGGCAGCCCCAGGCATGTCAGAGTAGAACTATGTTCCGTAGGGTTGTCAGGGCCTGATTTTTTGGAAGTTGATCACCAGGCCTTTCTTCCAAGGTGCCTTTAGGAGGACCCAACCTCTGAGCTTTCCATTAGCAGCCAAGCACAGTAACTGTTTGCACAACCCGGTGACTCCAGTCAGCGTTTAGGTAATGCTTACATTAATCCAGAAAGATGAGAATCTCTTCTCTTTAAAGAAATCTCCCAAAAGACAGCTTTGTAGCTTCTCCAAGTTGCCTTTTCCAGCATCCTGAAAGAAATCTACTTTTCCTCTTTAACTTGTGGTTTTTCTTGCTTGCATTGCCCCTTGAGATATTATTAATCAAGAAAGGCCTCCCAGAAGATAAAAGTTTTAAAGATAAAGGAAGATAAAAATTTTCATTGACCTTTCCCTCCAGGGTATATTTTTTTCATCTCCAAGATAAATGTAAAGTGATTTAATCAGGGAAAATTTAAATTCGTTTTGGAAGCCAGGAAGATCAAAATTGTAGGGAGGTTGGGGATGTGGAGAAAGACTGGTTCCAAGCAAAGGGCGTAGCACCAAGACACAGAAACATAAACACGTGTCAACAGATTGGCTTGAGAACTTCAGTCCAGCCAGTCACTCCTGGGAGTGGTCACCAAATCTTGGCTCCTGCCTCCTTATTTGAGCAGTGTCTTCTCTTTTCTCAGAAAGGGAAGGAAATTCTCACGGATAACAACATTCCCCACGGCCACTGTGTCATCTGCCTGTATGGTTTCCAGGTGGGGCTTTCTCTTGGCACCTGGGGCTCTGCTTCGGGCGGGCAGTGGAAGGCTAGTGGAGAGCTCTCTGCAGAGCCCTGCATCTGCCCTCCCTTCAGGAGAAGGAGGCCTTCACCAAAACACCCTGTTACCACTACTTCCACTGCCACTGCCTTGCACGGTATATCCAGCACATGGAGAAGGAGTTGAAAGCACAGGCGCAAGAGCAGGAGCTGCAGCATGCTACAGCCCACCAGGTAGGCTTCCCTGACCTCTGCTTTCACCGAACACCCTTGGTCACTGACTTTCACTGCCTTTTGCATTCTTTCATTCCGGTAGCTCTGAACCTTCCTAGGGTCCTAGATACCTTTGGGAGAAGCCCTGGTGGTATAATGGCTAAGTCCTCAGCTGTTAACCGGAAAGTCAGCAGTTCAAACTCCTCAGTTGCTCCATGGGAGAATGATGACAGCCTTGGAAACCCGGTGGGGCAGTTCTGTCTGCCCTTTAGGGTCGCTATAAGCTGGTATTTGTAATGGATTTAGATACCTTTGAGAATAATGAAAGCTCACTTCTGTCCCCCCAAAAAAGTGCATCCTTATATACAAGGGTAAGTAAAAAAATATTGCTACAAAATCATAAGGAACCTTTATTAAGTAAAAACATCAAAATGTGAAGTTGTTGTTTCTAGATACATCCTCCATCTAAATCGACACTTTGGAAGGTAGTATTTCCATTCCGGCTCCCTTAACCCTTCCCCAGACAATTCTCTGCTCTTCTGCTTACGCCACATAAAATGGCAGTTTGGGGCATCCTTGAGGGACGCAAATTGTGTTCCTTTTAAAGGTTCTTGAGTTTGGGGAACAAAAAGAAGTGTGAAAGGATATGATCAGGACTTTAGGGTGGATGGGCTAAGGTCTCCCAAGGAAATTCTTCTAGGACAGCCTTGCTACCCTGAAAAAATGAGCATGTACATTGTTGTGATGGGGAAAAAAAAAAATTCTTCAATGCAACTTCCCTTTTTCCTACTTCTGCACTTTAACACAATCTATGAAGATTATCATTTGGAATCCCAAACAAGTTGCCATAGCCTCCTGAACTGATCTCTCCACCTTGAATTGACTTGGCCTAGCAGATGCCCTTGGAAGTCAGTTTTGATTAGACCTTTTTTGGAAGGCACTAGAATGAGGCAAAGACAAATGTGTTACTTAGAGAACTTATCTGCAGCCATCCACTGATTGCAGACATGTTTGAACATATTTTGTTTGGAATATTCCTGAGCTATTGATTAAGCACTATTTTTTTGGCTTACCCTTATAAACTTGCCATATTGCATATACTTTCAGAGCGTTCCTAGGCCCCTACTTCCCACCCCTTGCTCTGTCCTGTCTCATCACTGAACAGGTATGCTTGTGCCCTTCAGTCTATTCTGTGCAGAGAAGGCTGGCTGCCTGCTCGGGCAGCTGGGGTGTGATTTCTCCTCTTTTTTAGGAGGCAGTTGGTGTGCAATGTCCAGTGTGCAGAGAGCCCCTCGTGTACGATCTTGCCACACTGAAAGCAGCCCCAGAGCCCCAACAGCCCATGGTAAGGGAACTCCTTCTCACTTGAGTCAGGAATCATGGCATGCTCCAAGGAAGGGGGAATGGCATCTTGCCAGCCTTGAATGGGATCTCAGGAATTGGGCTTGACCTTCCTAAGACCTCTATGCAAAGCTGCAGCCTCACTGGAAGCCTGAGGTTTAGGACTGGAAGCAAGAAACTGAGGAGCCAAGCCAAAAAGCTCTTTGGACATCTCCTGAGGCAGTCACAGAAGAGCAGTGGTTCAAGTCTGCTTTCTGCTTATTCTGTCCTCCCTGCCATTCGGCATCCATCCCTCCAGGAGCTGTACCAGCCTGATGCAGAGAGCTTGCGCCAGCAAGAAGAGCGCCAGCGGCTGTACCAGAGGCAGCAGGAGCGAGGGGGCATCATTGACCTTGAGGCCGAGCGTAACCGCTACTTCATTAGCCTCCAACAGGTAAGGGAAGGGTTTTTCCTCTTTCCCTGTACTACCTTCCCACAGACTCCATGGCTCTAGTGTGCTCGTATTCTACCCACGCTGCTTCTACAATGGTGGTTGGCTCAGATGGTGGGAGATGGGCCTGCCATTCCCTGCTTTGTAGAAACTGCATCTCCCTGCTTCTTTCTAGGCTACCGCTCCTTTGGAACTGGAGTCATCTGCAGATGCCTCCAGGGGATCCCACCCATCCAGTGCCCTTGCCACAGAACTGTCCACCTCAACTGCCCAACCCACCCAGTCAACTCTTTTGTCAGTGGCTTCCCAGTGCACATGTGAGAAGACTTCAGGGGCTGGGCCAAATCAGCAGAGGTTGGGCAAGAGCCAGAGAGCTATGCCAAATCCCCCTCAGACCAGTCAAGACCCCTGGCAGCCACCCAAACAGCGACACCTGAAGGGAGGGGAAACGAATGACACCCAAGAACTGCTACTTCCCTTCAAGGAGCCCATGGGACTAAACCAAGGGGTTCAAGGTCCTCCCCAAGAGAAGGGGCCCCCACCCCGCAGGACTCGGGACTACACTCACTGGGAGCGCCCCAAAGGTCGGACACCAGGTTCTTCCTACCCTCGCCTAACTCGGGGTCGGGGAGTCTCCAGGCCTGGGAGTCGGAGAGAGCCCCCGGGCTTGGAACCTGAGGAGGGTTCCTAGCAGTATTGGAAGGTGGGGGGTGAGCAGGAAGCAATAAAGACACGTGGCCTTTGGCTTTTTGTGCTCTGTAGCACTCACCCTGTGAGGTTTGTTGTTGTTGTTAAGTGCCATTGAGTCGGTTCTGACCATTTAACATTTCCGAAGGAGTTCTGGTTACCTAGTGGTTGTGAATCGGCTGCTAACCTCAGGGACAGCAGTTCGAATCTACCAGCTGTTCCACAGGAGAAAGATGAGGCTTTCTGCTCCCGTGAAGATTTACAGCCTCGGAAACCCTGTACAGCAGGGTCGCTATGAATCGGAACCGACTCCACGGCTCATAACCATCATCATAACATTTCCAAGGAGTGGCTGGTGAGCTTGAACCGCCAACCTCACAGTTCAAATGGTTTTGCAGGTAGACGGGTGAGGGGCAGGGTGTCTCTAACTGTGCTCTGAGGTCTGTTCTCCTAGGGGGCAGGGTCTGGATAAAGGAGTCCAGCAACTCATCTAGTAAGTTTCAGAGAATGCTAGTAGGTCCTCTGCATTTGAGCAGAACATTCTGGAGCACCTTGCCACATAAGCTATCGGTGTGTCGGTGTGATGCCTTTAGGGGAGGAATGTACTTTTCTGTGTTCTTCTCCCTTAGGCTACACCATGACTACTTTTTTATGTTATCTCTGACCTCTGTTGGCAAGTGCCTTCATGTGGTTCTGACTCACAGTGACCCTTTGTAGGGCTTCTGAGGAGTGGCTGGTAGGTTTGAACTGCCGACCTGGTGGTTAGCAATCCAGTGCGTAGCCTACAGTGCCTTACCCCAGAACTTCTCTGTTGTTATTACTTGCTGTCAAATCAATTCTGACTCATGGCTACTTGTTTTTGTGGAGTTTTTAAGGTTGTGACCATTCAGATACAGATGACCAGAGAGATCTTCAAAAGCAGGGCATCTGTGGGTGGCTTCAGATCACCAGTCTTTCAGCTAGTAGTCCAGTGCTGATTAACCCAACCAGGAACTCCACTGACCCTTTGGTGGTAGTGTGTGCCATCGAGTCGGTTCCAACTCAGCAACCCTGTATTGGGTGTCTGAGAGTGGCTGGTGGGTTTGAACTGCCAGCCTTGCAGTTACCAGTTCAGTGCTTATCCTACAGCACCACACTAGGGCTCACTTTGATAGTTATATGCCATGGAGTTGGTTTGGGCTCACAGTGACCTTGTATAGGGTTTCTGAGGTTGTATATCTTTATGAGAGCAGAAAACCTCATCTTCCTCCCATGGAGCAGCTAGAAATTTCAAACTGCTGGCCTTGAGGTTAGCTGCCCAACTCGTAAGCACTACACTACCAGAGCTGCCTAGTGCTCACTTTACACATCTGCAATTGCAGACTCTGCTTTCTACTCAAGTACCAACACGATGAGGGAAGAAGGGGGAGTCCAAGGCAGAAGAGTGTGGCAGGTATTTATTGGTTTTCTAAATTTGGAGAGTTGTGCACAAGTCTGGTCACCTCTTTAGAGTCTCCGTGTTGTGGATGGCCCCTGTGGGATCATTTTTATACAGCATGAAGTAGCCTTGCACCTGGGCAGGACTGATCTGGGTTGTAGCTTGAAGGACATTTTCTGCAAAGGCCTCAGCCAAGGAAGGCGCCTGCCCTGGGTAGAACCTCTGGAACATCTGGGTCAGCTGCCAGTGCGAGCAGTAGCCCACGTACTCCTTCAGGTCTACTCGCCCGGGGCGTACCAGGGCAGGGTCCAGCCTAAGAGAAGGAGGCAGGGAAGACAGGCATGGGCACCAGTACCACCTGTGTCCCAAAAAATGGGGTTCCCTTCTGGACCTCCAGATCCCTCCAGGGCACTAAGGGAACGTGGAGTTTCCTACCTGTCAACATGGTTGGTCGTCATGAACACAATGCGGGCCTCAGTGGAAGCCACGCCATCCAAAGCATTGAGCAGCCCACTAAAGGTGAGACGACCTAGCCCTTGGTACTTCACTGGGTCTGGAGGAAGCAGGGGTGAAGAAGTATGAGTGGTCAACAAACCAAACGGAACCCCCCCCCACTACCATTGCGTCAATTCCAACACGTACCAACGCTACGGGGGACAGAAGAACCTAGAACTGCTCCTATACAGTTTCTCCCAAGGAGCAGCTGGGAAGTTTGACCCACTGACCTTGAGGATAGCAGCCCAATGCTTAGCCTGCCATGCTACCAGGGCACCTTTGCGTGGTCATGTTAAGTGCCGCTGAGGCAGGTCTGACTCATCACACCCTGTATAAAGTTTCCAGGGAGTGGTTGGGTTTACACTGCTGCCCTGGTACTTAGCAGGCCCGAGCTGATGTTGACCATACAGTGCCACACTTACCAGTGAGCATTTCCTTCATTTCCCACTGCAGCTCCTGCTGCGGTGCTTCCTGGGGGATCTTAAAGCTAACCCAGGCACCCTCTGTCAGCTTCTGGATTTCCACTCTCATCAAGTCCCAGTGTGGTGCTGTACGATAAGCACTGGACTGCTCACCGAAAGGTTGGCAGTCTAAACCCACCAGCTGCTGGCTTCCTCAGAAACCCTTTCCAGGGTTGCTAGGAGTCAGAACCTCAATGTTAGGGTTCCTCACTTACTCCTGTACCCCATTTACCTTCATTTGGCAACAGTCCCCATGCCCAGGCTCCTGACTTACTTTCCACAGCTAAGTCCCGACTGAGGAAAGCAGCATCCACATCCTCGAGGAGCACGAGGCTCTGCTGCGGGGCCACACTCAGCAGGTGGTTGAGCCGGTCATCGGAGAGGCTGGAGTCTGTGAGACTCAGCAGGCAGATGCTGTGCTCCAGTTCCCCAGCCAGGGCTGTGCTGTAGGGGTGGGGAAGGCAGGCCTCCTGCAAAGGCTTCCTTGGACCCAGCTGCCCTTTCCTCACTGGGAGATGTGTCTCAAAAGTCTGACCCTCCCACCACCCCATCCTGATGTTCCACGGGCCTCATATTTATCCAGGACCCTGTTCCCCAGGTTTCTTTTCCATTCCAGTCCCATCAGTAGAGTTTTTCTCCGAAGGTTAAGTTTTAGAGTTAAGAGAAACTTTAACTTTACTCACATAAAACTGCTCTTCCCACAACCAGGGGGCCCATAAAGCAGGTAGCCACGTCTATAGGGAATGCCTGGGAAGACAGCCAGGGTGGTCATCAAGACCTAAAATACATTAAATCCTCTGCCCCAAATGTCCACATTCATCCCTGCCCTGCCCTCTCGGAGCCCAGTGGCCTTGGTGTTGGCAGAAATGATGGTGCAGGCAACTTCTGTTCCCTTCAGCTCTGCAAGTTGGCCGAGAGTCTTCTTGCCCTATCACCTGTGTATTAACAACACATCAAAAATAGCCCAGTCAAGACCCCAGCTGCTTCCTACCTCTGTCAGTGTACCACTTAGGGTTATCGATGAATTCCCGGATGTCTCTGACAATTCGGTCAGCCAGCCCCTGTTGCAGAACCACAGAATTAAGTGGCCGTCGGCGACGTGGATAACCAAAGGGACGCCATTCAGAGCCCACAGCTGTGTACATCACTGTCTTCCCTTCCTCCTGCTGCAAGGCTAGTTCTCGAGCTGAAAAAGGGGAGATGAGTCAAGGCCAACATTGCTCTTTCATCACGGCTGATTCTTGAGCTAGACAAAGCTGTGCTAAAACAGCTTCTGCCTCCCTGCTCCCATGAGTTTGGTCCCCTATTTCTTCTCTCCAAGGTTCTGACTCTGATGTCAATTGCTCCCTGCCTCTGCAGCCCCCCTATAAAGCCTTCTATGTCCTCCAGACCTTCTTCCAGGATGTTGAAGAAGACCTTGCGGTCAGTGCCCAGGGCTGTGAAGGTGACAGATTCCCAAGGAGTCCCCGTCTGCAGGTCTATCATCTGCATCTCTCGACTTCGTTGTACCCTGATCCATTTCCCTTGATACCTAAGAAAGAATGGCTCAGTGAGCAAATGGGTCAAAGTCTCTTCCCCTCATGCTCCTTTTCTGGTCTCAGAGTCCTCCCTGGCTCCCCACCTTACCAGATAAAGTGGTTTCCAGGGCTGGGAACAAATTCAAACTTGGTAGAGATTCGGCCACTCTCGTGCTGAAGGTATGAAGTTTCAACACTGAGGTGCTGAGTTCGAGTACTGTGTCGGGTAAGCCAGCTCAGCAACCAAGCATAGCTCCTGTCTCGAGCAGGGACTTCCAGTGTGATCATGTAATGGCGCCGGAATGCCACCAGGCCTAGCTGGGCACCCTTCCGAGCCAGGGCCAGGGCTGTGCCCACACCCACCAGCCCAAATCCAGCCCCAAAGTAGGGATTGTCCTTTAGGGCCTGAAGAAAGTCCGTGAGAGGCATCTTGAACGGCAAATACCAGAGAGTCTTATAAGCCCTGAAGCATTATCAAAACCTAGAGGTGGGGAGCAGTGGGAATGGAAAAAAGCACAAAATTAGTTTAGAAACTGGATTCCACACTACCCACCCCAACCCCCCCCTGCTCCACTCCCTCCTACAGTGACAGGTCAGCATTACTGTGTGCTATTCTCTCTTGGGGACAGTGTGGGGGATGGGGGGGTGTTGGAATACAAGAGCCAGTGAATTGAGACCACAGGCCACTTGCTCCAGTTTGCCCTTCATTAGTCTGTTTATACCTCAGCTTCCTACCAGAGGCCGCTGTCTGGACAGTTCTTAAACTTGAGGGAACACTGTAACCAGCTTCACACCCGGATAATGGAAGGACAGAATTTTTGTGGTCTTTGAGCTCAGTTGAGACAGAAGGGGGCCCAATGTCTGAAGTCAGCCCCTCTTTCCCAATGATATCATCATAACCCTCATGCCTTGAGTTTAGTTCCATGGAGTTGGTTCCAACTCATAGCTACCCTGTATAGGGTTTCCAAGGAGCAGCTGGTAGGAAAGCAGGTTTGACCCACTGACCTTGTGTTTAACAGCCGAGTGTTGATCCTACAGCACACCAGGACTCATGCCTTTAAGGTCTTTCAAACATCCTTGTCTATTCATACCTAAAGCCCCTTAAGGAGCTCTGATAGCCTAGTGGTTATGAATTGGGCTGCTAACCTCAAGGTCAGCAGTTTGGAACTCCCAGCTGTTCCGCAGGAGAAAGATGAGGCTTTCTGCTCCCATAGAGATTTACAGCCTCAGAAACCCTGTACGGGGTCGCAGGGTCACTATGAGTCGGAACCTACTCGACGGCACATAACAACAATGCCCCTTAACCTCTGTTTAGATGAATTCCCATAGAAACTCTCTTTAAATTAAAAAAAAGTTTTTAGTTCTTGAAACGACCTCTTAATGAGTCTCCACTGCCAGCGTCCCCAAAATGCAACACGGAGGGTATCAGATCCAATTCTATCTATCTTCTGTTCTAATACTTAAAGGAATAAGGTATGGGGCAGGTATATATAGCATGTCAGGATTTGAAAGGGGGTGTCGCCCCTGAGCAGTTTCTATGAACCACTGCCAGCTGAGATATCCTAGTGTAGCGCTGTAGGATAAGCACTGGACTGTATATCAAAGATCCCGTGGTTCAAACTCACCAGTTGTTCCTCAGAAACCCTGTACAGGAACCGATTTGACTGTACTTAACAGCAAAGCTGAGATATTCATCAAGTTAAAACTAATACTTTCATTTTTGAGACCCTATTTCAGACTTTAAGGAGCCCTGATGGCGCTGTAGGATAGGCCCTAGACTGCTAACCCTGTTGTTGTTGTTGTTAAATGCCATAGACTGCTAACTTTACAGGTGGATAATTTAAACCCATGAGCTGCTCCCTATGGGAAAAATGAGGGTGTGTGCTCCCATGAAGATGTATAGTCCTGGAAGGCCTATACAGGGTCACTGTGTTGGAATGAACTTGATGACTTCAGGGATTTCGTATTTCCCTGCCTGTGATTGGCCCCAAGGCTTCCTAACTCATAGCCCCAGGTGTTTGTGCGCCCGCTCCCCTCCCTCTTTGGCCTCCCATCCATTTCACAGTAAATTGCCTACTTTCCTAGATGTTGTTGTTGTTGTTAAGTGCTGTGGAGTCGATTCTGACCCATAGCAACCCTGTATAGGGTTTCCAAGGAGCAACTGGTGAGCTTGAACTGCTGACCTTGCAGTTCAAACGGCTTTGCAGTCTTGCACATTAACCCATAGCGCCACACAAGGATTCCTAGACGTTAGTTCTCTCTTTTCTCCCAATGTAACCTTTCATCAACCTGGTAGAAAAAAATCACACAAGGCCCAGAGTAGGGCCAATGAGATGGGGGAGGAAACGAGGGGGGGGGGTTGACTGAGACATGGGAGAGCTGGCTTTTAGGAAAATGGTCTCTTTCCCATGAAAATGAATAATAACTGGACACCCAAAGCAGAGTTTTGATTGTTGGGTTGATTTTAGTCCAAGGTGCACAACGTTACTAAATATTTAAGATGTTAAGTGACGTGTAGTCGGTTCCAACTCATACTGACCCAGTACAGGGTTTCCGAGTAGCTGGTGGGTTTGAACTGATTTTGTGGTTCAAACACTATCCTACAGTGCCAGGACTCCAAAATATTTAAGATGGTGTCAGATACTTTGGACAGTAGATACGCCTCTGCTAATACCTCCAAAAAAAAAACACTGAATTAGGACGAATTCCGCGGTTTACTCAAGATTCTCTCCTTCACAGTGCCCACCTACCCTCGCTGGTTTAGCTTCTAATACACTTGGTCCAAGAAATATGCAAACAACTTCCCACCTCCTTGATCTCTGGGCTCGGAATACCCGTTCTTTATTCCCTCCAAATGAAATCCCGCCCATTTCCTACTTCCTCTACGGATCCTTTGCAGAATCCTCCACCCCATCCCACATCCAATAAAATGTGACCGGGTCTACTTCTGAAGCAGTAAGATCCTGAAGAGTAAGAGAACTGAGGGGCAATTTGTTCTAGTATCCCGCCCTTCCACCCACCACCACCCAATCCACTTTGCCTTGCGCCTGGCTCGCAGGGCGGTGAACTGACAGCAGTGACCTCGCCTGAGCCTCAGGGGTAGGATCCAGATTCCAAAGCACCTATGCAAGGAAAGCTGCGGATGAAGCTCGCCCCACATGCTGGACACCCAGAAGTCCCTTCCAAATGTCTACTCGAGCCTCTAGCCGCGAGGTTTAGAATGACCTGTCACTCCGCCCCCTTACCGCCATGACTCTCTGGCCCTCCCTCTCGATGGTTTCACCCTCTCGCACTTGAGGGAAGCGCCGTACGACCCCGCCCTGACTTCTTTCATCTACTTCCCGCCACACCCACAAAGAAGGCCATGCCACTCTGCCCCTCAGCTCTCGATGGTACTCCTTGGACGTAGCGGGTGGGGGCGGGGGAGGTGAGGTAGGGAGGCATGAGGAATTATAGAGAAAAAAAAAACAAAACACACTAAACCATAGAGTACCCCCTCCAGCCAAAGAGAGAGTGGCCTCCATGCGACCGATGTTCTAGAGGCGGCTGGGCCGGAGGCGGTCGCACAAAGGGAGCCCCAGGAGACCGCTCCTGCCGCTGGTCGACCATAGAGACGCGGCTTCCCGCCGGCCCTGGGCCGGGAGGTGAGTGAGCTGCTGCTGGATGGGAACTGCAAGGCAGTGCTGGTGGAACGAGCAGAAGGCAAAAGTTTCTTGAACCGGAGGATGAAAGAGGGGTCTGGGTGGGGAGGAACCCTTGAGAGGAGGTGCTAAAAGGAGCACCCCGAGGACCGGGGCCCCAGCGCCTTAGCGCGTCACTGCTCTGGATCATTCCCGGGTATCCGCTGCCTCCTCATATCCTTAATGTTGACGACGCACCATCACAAGCCTTGCAGGTTCCAAAACGCCTTTCCCATTCGTTGGCTCTTGTGAACCCCTTCTCCACACGACGCTGTGGACACTGTCATCGTTTCCACTTTACAGGTGAGAAAACTGAGGCCCAGAGAAGCGAGGTGACTATCTATCCAAGATCACAAGGTGAGTCAGAGCCTAAAGACAGGTGGGACTCCGAGTGCCTTCATAACCTTCCCCCCCGCCCCCCCCCAGGTTTTCTTACTGCCTTAATCTGCCCTTTCTTTTCCTCATTGCCCCTTCCCCAATGACAAGCTCATCTCTTCCCTTGTCCACCTGTCTCGTACCTCACCTCGCCTGCCTCCTAGCGGTTGAAGGTTCTCAACCTATATCACGTCGCGTCCTCTTTGGCTCCCCTCTGAGGCCATGTAAGGCCACCGGGGAAGACCCCTGACAGAAAGATAATAAATTAAGACTGATTGTAGAGGGTACTTCTATGATGCGAGATTTTGAGTGGCAGGATTCTGGAGAACAGGAACATCAGATTATAGGGTCTTGGTTTCTTTTTTACTACAACTTGATTGCGCCCTTCCATTACACAGCATCATGAAGTGATCGTTGTCATCACTCTTGTTAGTTACAAATTCTTCAGCTTAAACCCATTTTAGCTATGTCTAACAAGATATATGGAGTCCTGGTGTGGCACTGTGGGTTAATGCACGGGACTGCAAAGTTGGTTTTGAACTGCAAGGTCGGTGGTTCAGGCTCACCAGCCAGTCCTTGGAAACCCTATGCAGAGTTGTTATGGGTCAGAACTGACTCAATGACACAACAACAACAGGATGTGCAATTTAGCTGCCATTTGTTTCTCAGTCGTGATCCTGTGTTCAATCTGAACCACAGTCCAGTTAATGACTGAAATTTCTGCAGATGTATGACATTATATGTAAGGAACCTTTTGTACTCTGATGCTTCAGGACAGTTTTTCTCCTACAAAGAATCACCTTATTTGTCAGAGTTACATAGATTGTTGGGCATTTGTGTTCAGTGAAGTGATAAACTCCACTTTAAAAAACACGAACTCCATTGAAAAAGCTCAGCACCTAGGCAAGAAAACTCCTAGGAAAACAATAGTGGTCTCTGACAAAGTGTCATTAGGACCAAAGAAGAGAGAGAGCAACAGAAGATAAGCCTTTGTAGTGGAAGTGACATTTGTGCAGATCCTTAAAGGGTACCTAGGAGTTGGTAAGTCACAAGAGGAGGACAACGTGGAAATGAACATCAGGCCAAATGAGAGGCATGTGTGCAGGTGTGGAGAATTTTGCAAGTGTAAGGAATGACAAATTGTTTGGGATGACTGATAAGAGATCTGTTGAGGGGAGAGGTAGAAGATGAGTCTCGAAAGGTCAAAAGATCATGAGAGGCCTTGTAACCAGAATTTTGTCGTTAAGTGTCGTCGAGTCAATTACGACTCATAGTGACCCTATATAGGGTTTCCGAGGAGCAGCTGGTGAGCTTGAACCACCAACCTTGCAGTTCAAATTGACCTTGCACTCCAGTGCACCAGGACTCCTTTGTAGCCATAAAAGGAAAAGTGAAATCATAAAACATTAAGAGGGCAAGGGACTTGGCACTGGAGATCCTTGGACCTCACCTAGTTTTGTTGCACATTAGAAAACTAAGATCCCTATTGCTTCTTAATTTGCCCAAGGTCACTTACCTGAGTGGTAACAGAGTAAGAAATACAATCTGTGGTCTTTAATATCTCAGCCAGAATTTGCTGGCTCTCCTCCAGTGTGTCCCTATTTATTATCATTTTTATTCTGTTTTTTTCTTCTGGGTATAGTCATAAAAAGAATATCTCTGTTTTGGTTAATAATGTAGAACATGACCATCGAAGTTACCAGGCACTGAGTTGTACACCTATACCAACTGGGAAGAAAGTGAGTTCTCTAACTCTCTGTTTTTGTTTTTCTTTGGATTGGCTTACCAGCACTTAAGAGACCACAGCACTGAATTCGTGGTGATGACAGACTCCGTGTTGGACTCGCAGCCAGCCACCAGTGCTGGGGAGATGGATGGACTGTGCTCTGAGCTATTGCTGATCCCCCAACCTCTCTCCAATGGTGGTATACTGGAGCCTGCTCAGAGCTCCTGCCCCTCTGGAAGCCCCACAGCTCTGCCTCCTGACCCAGGCTGCCTGCTGGTAGAGGCCACAGCAACTGGAGAGGGCACCGGGAACATGGAGATCATTGTAGAAGCAGTGGCTGGAAACCTGTCCCCAGATGCTCCCGGAGACACCCCAGGTACAAATACATTTACTAGGGGCCAGCAGGGCAAACAGCCCTGAGGCTTTTTCTCGATGTTCTTTTTTGGTCTTTCCTTATTAATTTGAGAACACGAGGCAGCTTCCTATTTTTGTACTTTGAAATGTTGTCATTTGTTTGCAGTTGGTGAATGGTGACTGAAGGCTGGCAAGGTGATACACAGCCTTGTACCAAGATTTTGGCAGTCTCTTCCCAGTCAGGGCTCAGAATGGATTCCACATCTGCTAAGCAGTAATCCAGAGGGGAAATTACATTTCTAATATCTCTAGCCAATCCTGGCTTCTTCTTTCTCTTACAGTACCCAGGAATTCTTTCTCCCATAATTAATGACCCTCCCACTCAGGTACTGCAGCTGACGATTAGGCCAAAGGCCCAGGCTCTCTCTATCACCTGGACTTGGCAGTGCTTTCCAGAGGTAATCTGGTAAATATTTCCCCTCCCTAGATTCTCGTGTATACCATATTTAACTCATCCAAGCATGCTGTTAAGAGTGGCAGTTGAACATTTGTATTTTTCCTAGGAGAAAGAGTCGTCCCTTTATTTTTCCCATGTCTGCAGCCTCTTATTTTTAGGAAACTACCTGGTGTTTTGTTTTTTTTTTTAAAACTGCCATCCACCAGCAAATTGTCACCACTCTCTTTGGCTATATAGTGTAGTGACAAAGAATAATGAAAAAAGCTTAGCTGAACTTCTGTGTGTGGTGAAAGAAATCATAAAAAAATAAATGAACAGCCTAGGAGTAAATATTTGCAATATACAAGAAATAGTTCATCTCTTTAAAAAGATTCAGAGGTACACAATAAGAGAAAGGAAAAGTGTTTAAAAAGGGGTTTGGGGGCTGGGATCTACACGCAATTCTTTTGTTTCTAAAGAATATAGGAAGGATGCTTAATCTCATTGCTGTTGTTGTTGTCAGGTGCCATCGAGTCGGAACCGACTCATAGCGACCCCATGCACAGCAGAACGAAACAATGTTCGATCCTGGGCCAACCTCACTACCGCTGCCACACTTGAGTCCATCAATGATGCCACCTGGCTGATCCATCTCGTTGGGGTCTTCCTCTTTTTCTCTGACCCTCCACCCTACCCAGCATGACATCCTTCTCCAGCGATTGTTTCCTCCGGACAATATGTCCAAAGTAGGAGAGACAAAGCTTAGCCATCCTGGCCTCCAAGGAGCACTCTGGCTGCACTTCTTCCAAAACAGATTTATTGGTTCTTTTGGCAGTCCATGGCACTTTCAGTATTCTCATTAGCACACAAATAAGCTCTAGTTTAAAAAAGTTAATGAGATACTGTTTTTGCTTACCAACTTTGAGAAAAACGAAGTATATTTAAAAATATCTAGTGCTTGTGAGAATAAGGCGAAGTAGACGCTCTTGCAATTCTTATGGAGAATGTAGATAAATATCCTCTTCTGAAGGTAGTTAACTACCAGATTGTAAAATGTGCAAGCTCTTTGACCTAGTCATTGTATTGCTCGTAAACTGTCCTATAGAAAGACTCTGGCACATTTACAATGATTTGGATAAGTAAGGCAGCTGTTTGCTGTGATTGGAAACAATTCAAATGTTCATTAGTAAGGGCAAAATTTTGTGATGATTGATCCATACTCTGAAATACCATGATCTGGACCCAGCTTGGGGGAAGGTGGTGAGGCAGATCTAAATGTATTTATAGATAAAATTATTTTTGACATATAACAGGTGAACAAAAGCAAATAGCAGAACAATGACAACTGTGGTGTTTAACCTTTTGCTCTCCCCCAATTTTTAAAAAAAAATTTTTTTTTAACCAAAACTGTGTGGAGATGTATACATACATAGAACATGGAACAAGAAAAAATAACAAACCAGCAAATTGCCACCAAGCTCAGGTTTTGTTGTCAGAGAAACCTGGACTTGAATCACGGCTCCGCCGGTAACAAGCGTATGACCTTTGCCTCTTAGAAGTAAAGACCTTTGCTGGGAGAAGTAAATGAGAGTATTTCCTGAGCCTTTCTCACATTGTTCAAGAATAGCAATGACTAACATGAAGGTGGGAGCCCTGGTGTGGTGCTGCGGGTTAAGCACTGAACTGCAAGGTCAGGTTGAAGCACAAGGTTGGTGGTTCAAGCTCATCAGCCGCTCCTTGGAAACCCTATACAGGGTCACTATGAGTTGGAACTGACTTGCTAGCACTTAACACCAACAATATGAAGGTGATTGAGAGCTCCTCAAAAGAGATGCTCTCCATTTCGTGAATGCCTGTGTCTTTGAAGCACATCGACTCATCCCAGTCACCGAAGTTGTTTCCTTTCTAATTTGGTTCATTCCTGAGCTTCTCTCCTCTGACTGGTTCTTGTGGTATCAGCCATGTGGTGAATTGGTGATTAATAATCGATCTTCCTGTCTTTCTTAACGGCTGCTCCTTCTTTTTCTGTAACTGTCTTTTAGCTCCCTTTTCGATTTTGATGTTCTCTTTAAGGCACAGAGCTCAGAACCAGATGCAAGCCTGCTTGGTGAAATGCATAGGAGAATTGTGTTTTCTCCAAGATGTGCCTCCTGAAACAATGTGTTGAAGTTAGTATTGCTCAGTAAATACTTGTTGAGAGAATATCTTTTTCAGCATCATGAACAGTTCTTAAGTGATTTCTGGCATACTTTCAGGTTCTCTCCTGTCTTTTTTGCCTTTATGACCAAGAGGCAGTTGTTGGAACAGAACATGGAACACTGAATAGTTTAAAATTAAGAAAGGTGTGCAACAAGGTAGTATTCTTTCACCATACTTATTCAGCCTGTATTGCTGAGCAAATAATCCGAGAAGCTAGGTTATATGAAGAAAAACGTGATATAAGAACTGGAGGAAAACTCATTAACAACCTGCAATATGCAGATGATATAACCTTGCTTCTGAAAGTGAAGAGGACTTAAAACATTTACTGATGAACATCAAAGAGCACAGCCTTTGGTATGGATTACATCTCAATGTAAAGAAAACAAAATCCTCACCAATGGACCAATAAACAACATTCTTATCAAGGGAGAAAAGATTGAAGTTGTCAAGGACTTCATTCTTCTTGGATCAACTATTAACACTCACGGAAGCAGCAGTCACGAAATCAAACGATGTATTGCATTAGGCAAATCTGCTGCACAAGACCTTTTTAAAGTGTTGAAGCAAAGATGTCAGCTTGAGGACTAAGATGCAGCTGACCCAAGCCATGGTATTTTCAATAACCTCATATGCATGTGAAAGCTGGACAGTGAATACAGAAGACCGTAGAAGAATTGATGCTTTTGAGTTATGGTGTTGGAGGAGAATATTGAAAGTGCCATGGGCTTCCAAAAGAACCAACAGATCTGTTTTGGGAGAAGTACAGCCAGAGTGCTCCTTGGAGGCCAAGATGGCCAAACTTCGTCTCTCATACTTCTGATATATTGTCAGGAGGGACCAGTTGCTGGAGAAGGATATCATGTTTGATAAGGTGGAGGGTCAGAGATAAAAAGGAAGACCCCCAACGAGATGGACTGGGCAAGTGACAGCATGGATGAACTCAAGCGTGGCAACAGTAGTGAGGTTGGCCCAGGATCGGGCAGTGTTTCGTTCTGCTGTACTTAAGATCGCTATGAGTCGGTACTGACTCGGTGGCACCTAACAACAACAATAACAGTTTCTTTATGTTTTTGAGAATAAAAGCAGTGCATGTTCATTGTATGTTTTGTTTTATTTTTAAGTCATTACAGGAAAAGAGAAGAAATAAATCATCTATAATTCCATTCCTACTAAAAAACACCACTGCCATCAAGTTGATTCCAGATCATAGTGACCCTAGGTAGGGTTTCCGAGACTGTAAAGAGTTATGGGAACAGATAGCCTCGTCTTTCTCCTTTGGAACAGCTAATGGATTTGAACTGCTGACTTTGTGGTTAGCAGCCTAATGCCTAGCCCACAGTACCACCAGGACTCCTTCTTGCTCATAGATGGTCAATGTGAGCAATGCTTGCTGCATCCTTCCAGACTTTCTTCTGTTACTATAGTGACATTTTTGTTGTTTTTAAGTGCCATTGAGTCACTTCCTACTCATAGTGACCCTGTATAGGGTTTCCGAGGAGTTGCTGTTGAGCTTGAACCACTGACCTTGCCATTCAAACCAACCTTGCAGTCTAGCACATTAACTCACAGTGCCACACAGAAATTCTACTATATGGAACCAATTCAACAGCACAATAATTTTTGCTTTGTAACCTGTTTTTAATCTAACTTGTTCAGTGCCTTCCAGTCAGTTTCAACTTATAGTGACCCTGTATGGGGTTTCCAAGGAGTGGCTGGTAGGTTTGAACCACTGATCTTACAGCTCAAACAGACCTTGTGGTTGAGCACATTATCCTACAGCACCACACCAGGACTCCTAATCTGACTGTGCTGCTAAGTTAAGTACTGTCAAGTCAGTTCGACTCCTAGCAACCCTGTATAGGGTTTCTGAGGAGCAGCTGGTGAGCTTGAACTGGTGACGCTGTGGTTTAAACCAACCTTGCAGTGCAACGCATTAACCCGCAGCGCCACACCCAGGACTCCTTAGGGTGACTAAATTTTATTTGGAAAAAATAGGAATCTCTGTTTCTCCTGGGGCGAGGTCTATCCTTTGATTGGATGTATATACATTAATTACTCAGCAGTCATTTCCATTCTCTGCGCTAATGAACCCTCTGAAAGTCTTCCTAGAAGGTAAATTCCTTGAAGTGAGATTGCACATTTCAAATTTGGGGATAGATTGACCTCCAGAAAAGTTGTACCAATTTATACCCCGACCAGTAGTCTGTGTTGGAGTCTATCTCCTCATACCTTGGCCAACGCTGGACCAGTCAATGGACCCAAGTTTTGATTTCTATTTCTTTGATAATTAGATTGAATGTTTTCTTTTATTTATTGGTTATTTGTATTCCGTCAGTTGCCTATTGGTGGTCTTTGACATTGTTCTGTAAGGCATTCTTTTTTTTTTATGTTCTTAAAGCTCTTGGTAGAATCTAAAGTAATATTTTGTCAGTTGTATTACAGAGATGATCCTTGATTGGTCATATGTCTTTTAGCTTCATTAAGTCATTTTCTTTTCAAAGTTTCTCATTTTTATTTAGTCAAAATATATTGCCTTAATGCTTTCTAGATTTGGTTCTGTTTGTTCATGCATGAAACAATATTTATTAAGCATGTATTTTGTGCCAGGTAATGCACTAGACGGGAGTGTAGTGGCTCTGTAGGATAAGTGCTGGACCACCCACCACCAGGTCAGCGATTTGAACCCACTAGCTGCATCATGGGAGAAAAATGAGGCTTTCTGTTCCCACAAAGATTTACAGCTTCAGAAGCCCTATACAGGATTGGTACGAGTCAAAACTGACTCAATGGCACTTAACAACAACAGCTATGCACTAGATACTGGAAATATAAACATGTGTGCAAGATAGACAGTTCCTGACTTTATGAGGCTTCCAGTTCAGGTGGCAGAACTAGACCATCTCCACTCCACGAATACTAAACTGTTCACCACATGTCCTACTAGTAGCGCATCCTATCTGATAGTGTGCCTTTCTCCCTTGGTTCTTACCTGCAGGTGTCCTGGTAAAGGTGGTGGAGGTGTACTTCTGTGAGCGCTGTGGGCAGAGCTTTGCAGAGCCCACTCTGCTGGCCTTGCACCACTGCCCTGACACCCTCAGACAGCCTGTGCAAGACCTGTCTAGCTCTTCGTGCTCTCTAGAGCTGCCCCCAAGCAACCTCACCCTCCTGGGCCCTCTGCAGGGCCGGAGCCCACCAGAGAGTCCCCTGCCATGCCCCGTGTGTAAACAGGAGTTTGCCCAACCCCAGGCCCTGAAGAGTCACTTCAAGATTCATCGAGAGACTCCTGTCGTCTTCTCCTGCCCAGAGTCTGGCTGTGTCTTCTCCTCTGAAGATCGCAAGGGTCTACAGCACCACCTGAGACAGACACACGACGTAGTTCCGGTGTCCTGCTCCTTCCGGGGCTGCCCCTTGCTCTTCGGGAACCAGCAGGACATGGAGCTGCACCGGCAGATCCATTACCCTTTCCACTGCAGCCATTGCAGCTTCATAGGCTCCAATGTCAAACTCTTCCGGCAGCACCTGCGAAGCCACGGGGCGGGGACACAGGGAGAACTTTCCGCCTCTCAGTGCCTTCCATCTCAGGAGCTGCTGCAAGGTATGAGGCAAAGGGCCCTGCAGTCCCCTGTCTGAACAGACATTCAGTCTTATAGCAGAGAGCACAGGAAAAGCTAGCATAGTGGCTCAGGAGCATAGAATTATGGATGACACGGAATGGCATCTAGAAATCTCTGCCTACTCAGAATTTATAGGGCAAGAGGAAATCGTCCTTGAGAAGCAGTGAAACTGTCGTCTTGAAGTTACTTTACCAATATTTTCTTATAATCCATTTCAGAACTTTCCGGGGGCAAGTGTTAAATGTCCCTTGGTGACTAAAGCCACTGGCTGAGAGCTTGTGAACTCCCTTTTAGAGCAAGTGGGCTTAGGGAACTGGACAAGAGAAGCTTGAGTTGTTTCCAAAAGAAATCTTCACAGGTGTGGTTGAGTAGGTTTCACTGAGTCTTCTTCCTCTTTGAACAAAACAAGGTGGAGGGTGAGTAGAGGAGCAGGAGGAAATTGAGACAACAGGCAGAGAGAGGCCAGGATTCTAAGGAGAGGGTTTGACTTGCAAAGTCTCAGTTGTGCTCTGGTACCCAAGGAGAGGGCCTCCCTTCCCTGGAGAAGAGTCCTTACGCCTTTATCTTGCTAAGACAGCTACTTCTGTTGGGGAGCTAGAAGGAGTAGGTTTGAGGGACAAGATAAGATGAGTTGGGATTCTCAGTAGAATCGTAACCTACACTCAGCCAGGGAGGTGCAGCTGACAAGTTCTTACCCCTCAGCCCTCCAGTGACCTTCAAGGTGCCCAAGGTTGCTTTACCTGAAGTGTGATTGACTGTAGATCAGAGCTTTGCTGACAGGGTAGCTCCTGGTCTTCCTCTACCTGTCTTGGATGGTAATACGTTTTTCTTACAATCCCAGATTCCCTCTTACTAACTGGGGAGGAGGGTGGAGAAGAAGCATTCAGGGCTGTCATTGGCTCCTATAGACTTCTTCAGGTTTTCTTTGTTTCCAGCACCCAAAATGCCCTCAGGAGACAGAGGGCCTTCGGAGGAAGCAGATGCACCCTTGCCACTTCAGGAGTCAGCTGAAGAGGAGGAAATTGAGGAAGAAGACAGTGGCTCCCAGAGGGACTCCCAGAAAGCCCTGGGAAAAGGACAGCAACTGGAAGGTAATGGTGCCATTAGGCTAGCGGCTCTTGGTGGTAGGGAGGAATAGGCTGTACCGAGCCTGGCATTGCGCCTCTGGGGTTTGAGTTGGCTCAGTTGGCTCAGACCCTTCATTTCTTTCCATTCTGCCATGAACTATCTTGTGAGAAAATGGGAAATGGGTAAAGATGCTAGTAATATAGGGGAGAGATAAGTAGAGTTTGCTGGTTTTCTTAAGAAAGCTCTTAAGGTTTTCTTTAGGAGGTCTGCGGGAGGGGGAGGGGCGTCTTTAGTATAAATATGCTAGTGGTTGTTGATATCAAGCTGCCTCTCTTGTCTGGCATTGAGCCCCCTGAGATTTCTTCCTGAATCCTTGCTCTCCAGTTTTCCTAGCTAGACTTTGAAAGCCCTCCTATTGGTAGTGTCGGGTGAAGAGGAAAGACCTGATTGTATTTACTGCCAGCTCTCTGTTACCCAGATCCCTGCGAGCCAGCGTTCAGACTCCTTTCCCGTCTCTTCTACTCTTTCCCCGCGGGACTCTTTTCCTTCCAAACAACCCTGCTGCTCCTTGTGAACAAGGGCTGGGAAGAACAGGAATGCTCCATCTTTTGAGCAGCTTTAAACAGGCTCATGAATAGTGGTTGACTTGGGGAAGCAAATGAAACCACAGCAAGGTTTGTGGTTTTGTTGCTCTGAAGACTTGTATTATTCAACTCAGATCTTGTTTGGTTTCCTGGAAAGAAAGGAGACAGGCAACACAGTGTTTCTCTCGGAACATTGTGGTTCTCCCATTATTTGACCAATCCAGTCTAGTGGCACTGTAGGTTAAGCATTGGGCTGCTAACCACAAGATCAGCAGTTCAAACCCATCAGCCGCTCCTAGGGAAAAACATGAGCTGAATCTGTCTGTCTGCTCCTGTAAAGATATACGGTGTCAGAAGCCTACAGGGGTGATTCTACTCTGTCTTATGGGTTGAGTTGGTCGCTATGAGTTGGAATTGACTCATTGGTAGTGGGGTTTGACTTATTGAAGATAAGTGGGTTTGAACTTGCGGATCTCTCAACCCTCTGTTTTCCTGATTATTTCCTTGGCTCCTGTGCCCCAGGTGAGGTGGCTTCTGGCACCGAGTCCCTTTTCAAGACCCACATGTGTCCCGAGTGCAAGCGCTGCTTTAAGAAGCGGACTCACCTGGTGGAACACCTGCATCTCCACTTCCCAGACCCCAGCCTCCAGTGCCCCAATTGCCAGAAGTTCTTCACCAGTAAGAGCAAACTCAAGACCCACCTGCTCCGGGAGCTAGGTGAGAAAGCCCACCGCTGCCCACTGTGCCACTACAGTGCCGTGGAGAGGAATGCACTCAACCGCCACATGGCCAGCATGCATGAGGACATTTCCAACTTCTACTCGGACACCTACGCCTGCCCTGTCTGCCGTGAGGAATTCCACCGCAGCCAGGCCCTCAAGGAGCATCTCAAGAGCCACACAGCGGCAGCTGCCGCCGAGCCTCAGCCCCTTCACTGCTTTCAGGAAGGCTGCAGCTATGCCGCGCCCGACCGCAAGGCCTTTGTAAAGCACCTGAAGGAGGCCCACCGGGTTCGAGCCGTGGAGTGCCGCCACCACTCGTGCCCCATGCTCTTTGCCACAGCTGAGGCCATGGAGGCCCACCACAAGAGCCATTATGCCTTCCACTGTCCCCAGTGTGACTTCGCTTGCTCTAACAAGCACCTGTTCCGCAAGCACAAGAAGCAGGGCCACCCCGGCAGTGAAGAGCTGCGCTGCGCCTTCTGCCCCTTTGCCACCTTCAACCCAGTGGCCTACCAGGACCACGTGGGCAAGATGCACGCTCATGAGAAGATCCACCAGTGCCCTGAGTGCAACTTTGCCACTGCCCACAAGAGGGTGCTCATCCGACACATGCTGCTGCATACTGGTGAGATGGCTTGCATCCTCAATAATGCGATCAGAATGACAACAGTCGCGATGCCGATGGCTGGCATGACACCAGGGAAGCCTTTGCATTGTCTCGCTTCACCTAGTATCCCAAGAGATAAACCCAGGGTTCCGATTTCACAGCCGAGTCTTCATTTGGGTGTAACTCATCTAGTAAAGTGGTCGAGCTAAGATTTGAATCCAGGCAGTCTGATTTCAGAGCCTATGCATTTGTGCCTAAACTTAGGCCCCTGCCCACCCCTAGTTTGGGTTGGTTTACCCCTCACCCCACCCCCACCCCCGTTAGAGTGGGCATGCCCAGGCCAGGTGTTGGGAGGTGCATTCAGGTATGGCCTCCCACGATTTCCTAAACTTCTGTTTTTAAGGTAGCTGGAACAAAGCCACTGTTGTTTCAATTGAGCAGTTTATTTCTAAATATGCTTTCACCACAAAATTTCATGTTTTGGAGAACTTTCCTATTTACAGTTTGCAGAGCTCTTCCAGCTGCATCATCTCTTCTAATTCACAATCCATAATAATCCATAATAGCAACCTTGATGAGCAAACAAACTCTGCAAAGCTAAATGACCTGTTCCAAGACCACACACCTGATCTCAGAGCCAGAGCACCAAGTGCTTGCAAGAGAAGGTGGGTGGGTAGGTAGGCAGAAACAACAGGGAGAGGCCTGGAAGGAACTACAGGTTTTATTATTGCTAAGTGTTGTTGGTTCTGACTCTTAACAACCTTGTATAAGGTTTCCAAGGCATAGCTAGTAGGTTTGAACTGCCAACCTTGTGGTTTGCAGTCCAGTGCTGATCTTGCAGCGCCACCCCAAATTTTAGAGTAAATCACAAGTTCTCCTTTATCCCCACCCTCCTCAGTATAGGAGTCAGGAGCAGTGAGCTGAGAGGGTTGTGGCGCAGCCTTGCAAACTATGACGTTTCTAGAAGCTCAGGGAGCACATGATACCTCTGCTCCCAACTGGCATCTAGATAAGCTTGCTAGGAGAGTGGTCCGACCTCATTTGGTCTGTATCTGACCCTTGTTCTCTCCCCTAATTCCCACCCCACACAAGGCGAGAAACCTCACAAGTGTGAGCTGTGTGACTTCACATGCCGAGATGTGAGCTACCTGTCCAAGCACATGCTGACCCACTCTAGCGCCAAGGATTACATGTGCACCGAGTGTGGCTACGTCACCAAGTGGAAGCACTACCTCAGTGTGCACATGCGAAAACACATGGGGGACCTCAGGTATGCACAAATCTCTGCCCCATCCCAAGAACCTTGTGCCAAGCTAGGCTCCTCTTGGCCTCAAGCTCCGGGTCCTACTGCTTTCTCCGACCTCAGAGAGACTCCTCTGAAAGCCTCACTCTGCAGCCTACCTCTCCCTGGGGCCCAGTTTGGAGTGGCTGCGGTCCGGGCTCAGGGAAGAGGGCACAGGCCTGGAGACTGAGGCCTCACTTGAGTTCTCAGTAGATGGTGCTTTCTGAGTCCAGGCCCGTTCCCCTCTGACCTGTGATCACAGCAGCTTTTGCAGAGTGTCCACGCCTTCCTGGGAAAATGGAAACCAGACACAGAACTCCCCTGTGGGGCTCTCACAGTGTCAGCTCTTCAGGAGTCCGTGGTTTGTGACTGCTCCCCTATAGGAAACTGTGGGGAGTGGGAATTAGCACCCAGGGCCCGAAGCTAGGCTGCCAGCCTTCAAATCCTGCCTCTGCCCCTCACCCCCTTTGTAAACTAAGGCAAGGTATGAACTTTTCTGTCTTCATCTTCTCACTTGTGAAATGGAGATGCCTACATGGTTAGTGGGAAGAAGGATTCAGGCAGGTGCCTACTGAGGGTGGAGCCTGGCCCAGAGGGAGTACTTGTTGCTGTTACTTGTGATTGGTTCGTTATTATGACTCTGCCCCCCTTCCCTCCGTGCCAGATACCAATGCAACCAGTGCTCCTATCGCTGCCACCGGGCTGACCAGCTGAGCAGTCACAAGCTGCGGCACCAGGGCAAGTCCCTGATGTGTGAGGTGTGTGCCTTTGCCTGCAAACGGAAGTACGAGCTGCAGAAGCATATGGCTTCACAGCACCGCCCTGGCACACCAGCCCCCCTCTATCCCTGCCGCTACTGCAGCTACCAGAGCCGCCACAAGCAGGCGCTGCTGAGCCACGAGAACTGCAAACACACCCGGCTCCGGGAGTTCCGCTGTGCCCTCTGTGACTACCGCACTTTCAGCAACACCACCCTCTTCTTCCACAAGCGCAAAGCCCATGGCTATGTGCCCGGGGACCAGGTCTGGCAGCTCCGTTATGCAAGCCAGGAGTCAGAGGGAACCAGGCAGTGCCCAACACCCCCAGTAGACACAGAACCCTCAGGCCAACCCGAGGGGCTGGGCCCTGACCCTGGGTCTCTGGTGGACCTCAGCCTGGGCCAGGCCCTGCCGGAGGTGAATGAAGAGAGTAGAGCTGGGACACAGCACGTCAGTGAGGCTTCCCAAGAAGTTGACCTGGTTGGCAGCCCCAGCCCAGCGGAGGTGGATGAGGGTGGCTGCACTCTCCATCTGGAGGCCCTGGGAGTAGAGTTGGGACCCGTGACTACCGAGCCACCCCTCCAGGCGATCAGTGAGACAGCCCCCGGGGAGTGCGGGCCGCTGGATCCCTCAGGGCCCTTGGAACTAGAAGTGCCAGATGGAACCGTGACCGAGCTCTCCAGCTTAGAAGGCATTGGGCCTTCTGATATGGGTGCTGAAGAAGAGCCCATTTTGGAGAAGCCTGTCCCTGAGCTCCCCAGAGACCCCCCATTCTCAGAGGAGGCCCCTAATAGCTGGGTGGGAACCTTGAAGGCAACTCCCCCTGCCGAGACAGCACCCCTGTCCCAGTTTCCCGAGTCAGAGTCATTGCTCAAGGCCCTCAGGAGGCAGGACAAAGAGCAGGCTGAGGCACTGGTACTGGAGGGCCGGGTGCAGATGGTGGTCATCCAGGGAGAGGGGCGGGCCTTCCGCTGCCCACACTGCCCTTTCCTCACCCGCCGGGAGAAGGCCCTGAATCTGCACTCCCAGACTGGGTGTCAGGGACGCCGGGAGCCCCTAGTGTGCCCCAAGTGTGGGGCTAGCTTCAAGCAGCAGCGGGGCCTCAGTACCCACCTGCTGAAGAAGTGCCCTGTTCTACTCAGAAAGACCAAGGGTTTGCCCAGACCAGACTCGCCCAGCCCTCTGCCCACGGGCACCCAAGCCTCAGAGGGTCCAAAAGCTGGGAAGCCCCTACTGGAACCACTGGAAATAGAGCTAGAGTGTCCAAAAGGTACTTCTGAGCTACCCAGGGAGTCGAAAGACCTGGAGGAACCTCTTCTCACAGTGTCTGGCTCCCCGGCCCCTCCTGCAGCCGACCCCTCCCCAACAGGGACCCCTGAGAAGTTCCGCTTTGAGCAGGGCAAGTTTCACTGCAGCTCATGCACATTCGTTTGTTCAAGGCTGTCCTCCATTACCTCTCATGTGACTGACGGCTGCCGGGGGGTCCGTGGTGGGGGAGGGAAGCGAGGAGCCCCCCAGGCACAGCCTGTTGTGTCCTCCACCACCAAAGGAAACTCTGCCTCGCTGAGTAATGGGAGCCCAGAGTCCAGCCCTGGTGGTGGGGACACAACTGTGGTTCGAAAACAGAAGGGGGCTCGCTTCTCCTGCCCCACGTGCCCCTTTAGCTGCCAGCAGGAACGTGCTCTGAGAACCCACCAGGCCCGGGGCTGCCCCCTCGAGGAGTCTGGAGAGCTACGCTGTGGCCTCTGCCCGTTCACCACCCCTGCTGCTGCCGCCTTGCGGCTCCACCAGAAGAGGAGGCACCCCACTACAGGGCCAGCCCGGGGCCCCCGAGCCTCTCTACAGTGTGGGGACTGCAGCTTCACCTGTAAGCAGAGCCGGTGCCTACAGCAGCACCGGCGGCTCAAGCACGAGGGGGTGAAGCCCCATCAGTGTCTTTTCTGTGACTTCTCTACCACCAGGCGGTACCGACTAGAGGCTCATCAGTCCCGGCACACAGGTGTCGGCCGCATCCCCTGCAGCTCTTGCCCCCAGACATTCGGTACCAACTCCAAGCTGCGCTTGCACCGGCTAAGGGTCCATGACAAAACACCCACCCACTTCTGTCCACTCTGTGACTATAGTGGCTACCTCCGCCATGACATCACACGCCACGTCAACAGTTGCCACCAGGGCACCCCAGCCTTTGCCTGCCCCCGGTGCGAGGCCCAGTTCAGCTCTGAGACAGCGCTCAAACAGCACGCTCTGCGCCGGCACCCTGAGCCTACACCCACAGCCCCTGGCTCGCCCACGGAAGCCACTCAGGGTCCCCTACACTGCTCCCACTGTGGGCTGCTGTGCTCCAGCCCAGCCAGCCTGCGAGGACACACTCGGAAGCAGCATCCCCGGCTGGAGTGCGCGGCCTGTCAGGAGGCTTTCCCCAGCCGCCTGGCCCTAGACGAGCACCGGAGGCAGCAGCACTTCAGCCACCGCTGTCAGCTCTGTGACTTCGCTGCCCGTGAGCAGGGGGGCCTGGTGAGGCACTACCTGGAACACCACGAGGAGACTTCGGATGGCGGTGCCAACCAGCCCCCTCTGCGCTGCCCCTTTTGTGACTTTGCGTGTCACCATCAGCTGGTGCTTGATCACCATGTGAAGGGGCACGGGGGCATCCGGCTCTACAAGTGTACTGACTGTGCTTACAGCACCAAGAATCGGCAGAAGATCACGTGGCACAGCCGCATCCACACTGGGGAGAAGCCCTACCGCTGCCACCTCTGCACCTATGCTTGTGCTGACCCCTCTCGCCTCAAGGTAAGGGCAAGGGGAGCAAAGAGAGCAGGGAGTGCTGGCCCTGGACTTAGAGTCTAGGCTCGCTCATCCTGGCTTTTCCAAGTATTAGCTCCGTTCTGGGACCCTAGGAAAGATCCTTCGCTACTCCAAGACTCAGAGTCCTCATCCGTAAAAAAGAGAAAATAGTTACTACCAAGGCTAGAATTCCCAACTCGGTGCTTGACGTGATACAGGCACGTATAAGTTGGGGGTCATCTGGATGATAGTGACAGCTAACATGTACTGAGCACTGTCTGTTTCATCGTCTTAAAAGTAGGAGATAAAGAGGTGCTTTTACTTGCCCCCTTTTTGTAGAAAGCGGGCTTTGAGAACTAGGGGTTAGTTTATCTAGTGACACAGCTAATAAGCAGCATAGCTGAGATTCAAACTCAGAACAGACCTCAGAGGAGGCCGAATGTGAGTCAGGTTGGTATCTAGACTGGGAAACCTGGCTGTTGGAGTATGGGTGGAATGGAAGCAGGGAACAAGGTTGTCTGCCCATAGCTTCCTGCCTGCAGGCCCCTACTCCCACTCCTGTGAGAACCCAGGGTACACGTTATCGGGGTGTATGCTCAGCCTCTGCTCTCCTTCAGTACCACATGCGGATCCACAAGGAGGAACGGAAGTACCTGTGCCCTGACTGTGGCTACAAGTGCAAGTGGGTCAACCAGCTGAAATACCACATGACTAAGCACACAGGTGAGTCTGTGGGCGATAGTCCCAAGAGATTTCCTCACCCCGGTGCACCCTGAGGTAGTGTGTGTCCTTGTGCGAATTGAGTGCCAACCTCGATTTTCACATTGAGGGCATGGAGTGTTTTGGGGAATCTGCACCAGAATGGCTGCCCACCCCGCTGAAGACTTCAGAGGCAGAGTGAACCCGAGAGCCTGGGCATGTGTACTGGTACAAAGTCACCCAAACCCTGTGGAGAAGCCCCAACTCAAACATGAGTGATGGAAGCCATGTCTCCTTGGTTCCTACATGGATGTGGTAGAACTGTCATGAGTGAAGAGGAGAAACCAGGACTCCTCTCTCTTCCTGTTCTACTGCGTATGGAACCGATGAACTGTGTGGGAGTCCACAGAGAAAGGTTCATGAGTGTGTGCCTGTCATCATTGCTTATGGCTCCTCCTGTGTGGAGGAATTGGCCACCTACATCTCAAGACCCTCTGCTCCTGTGAACGCCACTTCTCTCGTAAACATTTCCTTTTACTTCTTGAGTTGAACAAGGTATTTTTTTAAATGGATTCCCAAATCCCATCAGTGTCTTGTGACCAAAAGGGAGTTGGCATTTTCCATTTGGGGACCCCAGCAGTATTTATTTCTGTCAGGTGGCTACTTAGGGTCCAGTTAGTCATCAGCATCCTTTGAGCACCCACTGTATAAAATTGGGGGAAGGGCACAGAACTGGTCCATTCCAAAGATGTGATCATTTAGCTTGTGTCTCTGTCAGGATCACAGTGACCCGTGATCCTCTGAACCTTGCTCTGTCCCCTTAAGCAGTGATGGAAGGATGCCCTACAACTAACCCTCCTTGTCCTGTCTTTACCCTGCCCTACAGGGCTGAAGCCGTACCAGTGTCCTGAGTGTGAGTACTGTACCAACCGGGCTGATGCCCTGCGTGTGCACCGGGAGACGCGGCACCGGGAAGCGCGGGCCTTTATGTGTGAGCAGTGCGGCAAGGCCTTCAAGACGCGCTTCCTGCTGCGCACCCACCTCCGCAAGCACAGCGAGGCCAAGCCCTACGTGTGCAACGTGTGCCATCGTGGTTTTCGCTGGGCCGCTGGCCTGCGCCACCACGCCCTCACCCACACCGACCGCCACCCCTTTTTCTGCCGCCTCTGCAGCTACAAGGCCAAGCAGAAATTCCAAGTGGTCAAGCATGTGCGCAGGCACCACCCTGACCAGACTGACCCAAACCAGGGAGTGGGCAAAGACCCCACCACCCCCACAGTGCACTTGCACGATGTGCAGCTGGAGGATCCTGTCCCCTACGCTCCCACCACCCCCCACACTGGACCTGAAGGCTGAGGAAGAGGCTGTGGTGCAAGTGTGCCAACTGAAACCAAAGCTGGCCTGAGGAGCTCAGGCCTAAGGAAGGGCTGGCTTTGGGGTGTCAGGGAGGTGGGGACCCTCCTGGGACTCTGGCTTGAGTACTTGGGAGCTGACAGTTGTTTAAAAGAGAGATACAGACTACAGCATTGATTTCTCCTGAGTTCCTTGTTTTTCACCATCACTCCACTAAAGTTGCTGGCTTCAGTCAGCATCTTCAAAAGTTGTATCTAGTGCATGTGCTGTTGTGCTCAATGCTTTATAAAACGTTAAACGGAATCGTGACTGCTAACTTACAGATGAGTCCAGATTTCTGTCTAATATTTCTAGGCTGTCATCTTAGCCTGCCCTGTCCACTCCTCTCCTTTGTCTCCATCCGTCTTCACTTGGTGATTGATTCTAAAGCAGGCCCAGAAAAATCTGTCTTTTCTCTGTCTTTGAGCCTGTCATGGCCCTGGCCCTGCTACCTGCTTTTGAGCCCTTTGTCTGCCCGTCCAGGGAGGGCTGCCACCCACTAAGCCTGCTCCAGGAAACAGCTGGCATCCACCATCAATCCTTGGGCTGGCTCAGCAGCTGTACCAAAGAGTTACGGCATAAGGATAATGTGAAATGCAGATGATTGGGGAGGTAAATCTTTAGGCCAGAACTCTAAATGATGATATAATTAACCACCCAAAGTGGGACCTGTTTCATTCCCTGCTGCCATCAAGTCAATTCCAATTCATAGTGGCCCTATAGGACAGTAGAACCGCCCCCATGGGGTTTCCAAGGCTGCAGAGCTTTACAGAAGCAGACTGCCACATCTTTCTTCTGTGGAGTAGTTGGTGGTTTGATTCACTGACCTTTCAGTTAGCAACTGAGCACATAACCACTGTGCCACAGGGGCTCCTAAACTGGGACGTTTGGGGAAATTAAGGAGGGTACTATTCATAAGTAGGCTGGGACAACAGAAGTAACATAGGTCTATCCCGGACAAACAGCAGATGGGCTGAGACCACATAATCCTTTTGCCCTCTGCTTTAGAAGCCTTCTGTGTTCTTTATAGGAACCTTTTGATTTTCTACCTTTCCCGGCCCCATATGTCCCACAACCCTTGCACCTCCCTTTCTTGTCCAACTATAAGACCATACTCAAGCCGAATTGGGGAGAGAAGCTCTTTATGCAGGTTGGGCTGGGAGGAACAGTGATCTTAGGAGCCATGGTGTAGTCTCTGGTCAGGTTGTCTTCCCCAGCCTTTTGCTTGGGCACCTTGATCCTTGATTCATCCGTTCCTTGCATCTGGGCTTTGAGGAAATTAGAGGTGAGGGAGAGAATACCTCAGAGTTTCTCAGTCCTAGGCCCCACTCAGGTGTTCCAGCTGCAATCTGTTCGTGAGCTGGGGGCATGGGAAGGTTTAGTCCTAGGTATGGGTAAGAGTTTGAGCTACATCAAGAACAAGATAACACTAGTATAGGGTGATGGTGGTTATGTACCGTGGAGTCAATTCCAACTCAGCGACCCTGTATATTGTTTCCGAGGCTGTAAATCTGTGGCAGCAGAAAGCCTCATTGTTCTCTCACAGAGCGGCTGTGGCTTCAAACTGCTGACCTTGTAGTTAGCAGTCCAGCTCAGAATGCAGCATGCTGCCAGAGAAACTTCCAGTATAGATACAGAAAGAACAAGGGCAAGCAAAGTGGTATAGGCTGTGAAAACGAGGACAGAAAAGCTGTAAAAGCAGACCTAGGTTTGCTTGGAAAAGCGAATTTTGAGACTAGGAATGATGCACAATCCAAAGGTGTTTTCACCACCTCTGTTTGTCTTCTAGAGCATTACCCCATGTTTTTCTCACAGTCAAAAGCCAGTGGACCACCCTCCACACGAAGTGCCCACTTCAGACTTCAGCCCCCTCTAGCCCTTCCTGGATGGAGATGTGCACAAAGATGGAAGCTGGGTGGAGGCTGGTGCCATCCCTGGAGAGCAGGTGTATGTGACGGTAACCTGGAGAGGGACAGGAGAGCAGCATAAAGAAAGTGACCCAAGTTGGGGTGTTGGCCAAAATCCAGGGAACTGACTCACCTTGTTGCATGCAGGTCCAAGGCAGGGTGTACTGACCGACAAAGTCATTTCGGGACTTCCAGTCATAATCCTCTACCACAAAACGCAGCAGGGCGAGTTCAGGCACCAGGACTCGGAAGCACAATGTCTGCCCCCAGTATGGATTAAAACCTGAGGTGGTGTTGGGAGGAGAGAAGGAAGAGGCATTATTAACTCTTCTTTAGGCTTGGTACCATACGGGGTTACTCTCATTTATCTTCTTGATAGGCAGCATCTTATAGGTGAGGAACAAGCTCAGAGTGGCTAAGCAAGTTGCCTAGATCTCAGGAGCTTAAGTGAGGGGCCAGGATTTAGATTCCAGATTCATTTTCATTAGACAGCTCCGTGCTGCCTCCCGTGGAGAGCGGAAACTGGCCTGTATTTAATGGAAATTGGGATGGGAAAGAAACTTCTCCCCGCAGCACTGCCCCACCTCTCACCGTTGTTCTCCACATAGCTGGTCTCCTGGCGGGTTGAGTCTGGGCGGACGCCAAAGATCTCCACTTTCACCAGTGGATCCACAATGGACCCTTCTTTGATGTTGTCCACTTTGGGGAGTTGCTGACCACTGATCACCTGCAACCAGAGCTCTGGAAGCTCACTAGTTCCTGCTCAGTCCAGCCCCTGCTCCTTCTCCAGGGGGAGGGGAAGGGGAAGGTTCCCAGGCCTGTGTGCTTTATACCTTGGGTTTGCCAGGCTACTCCTCGATAGCCAATATATCTCCTAGTGTTCTATCTGCCATTTAAAATACATCTAAGTAGCAGTTTAACAAGGTTAGAAAGTTTGAAATGTTAATGACAGCAATTCCTTTTAGAGCAGTTCATGTGTCCAGGTATTATTGTACATACTTGATGTATATTAACTAGTTCTCACACCAGCCCTGTGCAGCAGGTAGTATTATTGCCCTCAGTTGGTAGGTGAGGAGACTGAGGTATGGAGAAGTTACTTACCCAACATTACATCACTAGTAAGTGGGTTTGGACCAAGGTAGTCTTTCTAAAGTTCATGCTCTTAACAATCATGCTATCCTGCCTCTTAAAAAACCTTTTCACCTGTTAAACTCCTGCAACTCCTGCTGAGCCTAGCTTCTGCTCGCCCCACCCATCCTCACCCACCCACCCACCCAGTCAGTTTGTCCTTCCTTTGTACCTGGATGAAGAGGGTCTGGGCCTTGAAAGGACTGATGGGCCTCTCCGGGTGGAAGGAACTCTGGGTGTCACACAGGAAGTCTGGCTTCAGCACATAGCCACAGCCACCATTCTGGCGGAAGAGCCCATCACAGATGTCCATCTCCAGTCCCGCAGTCTGCACATTCATAGCCACTGAGGGAGGGCCCCCGGAGAAAAAAGAATCAATTCACCTTGGGAGCCACCCAACACCACTTTCAGGAAGTTAACTGACACACGTGTTGGCTGGAAGGGTGCCTGCTGGGACCGCCTCCATAGACACAGATTCTTCTACCTAGCTCTTTTCTGGGAGGATTCCCTTGCCCTACTGTGTTGTTAACTTCAAGGTCAGCAGTTTGAAACTACCAGCGGTTCCATGGAAGAAAGATGAGGCTTCCTGCTCCTGTAAAGATTCATAGCCTTGGAAACCCTATGCAGGGTAGCTGAGTTGGAACCAACTCCACAGCACACGACCACCCCCACCACCACCACCACCACCACCACCACCACCATCAGAAGGAACTTTGGTGGTACAGTGGGTTAAGTACTGGGCTGCTGATCATAGGGTCAACAGTTCAAATGCATCAGCTGTTCTGTGGGAGAAAAATGAAGCTATCTGTTCCCATAGAGATTTTTAGTCTTGGAAATCCTGGGGAACAGTTTTACTCTGTCCTGCAGGTCCTGAGTTGTAATTAACCAAACTGCAGTGGGTGGGTTTACTGCCACCAAGGGCTAGCTTCCCACCTGCTGCTCCTCCTGTTTCCTCCCAGCCCGTTTGCCCCTCACCCATCTGGCAGCCAGCGCTCCACAGGTCCTGGGGGTTGTAGTTGGAAGAGTCTGTCCTCAGGCCACTGGGATACACTCGGCTTAGCTGCCAGGTGTTGTGCTGCACAAACTCGTTGCCTGTGAATAGGGTGTAGGGACAAAGGTGAAGTGAGGCTGACTTCCTGGGCCTCGCCCATCCACTTCTCCCTTCCCACCATCTCCTGAGGCTGGATCCAGAGAACTTCAAGGTGCCTTTCTACCATCGTCCAGGCTTTCCCTAGAACCCCGAGCCCATTATTCATAACCCCGTGCCTGCTCTGGGGAGCTTCTTAGCTCCCTCAGCTCTCATTAGCTCTTTGTTCTCTTTCTTTGGATTCCTTTGCTTGACCAGGTCAGACCTGACACCATCCCAGTTCTCTCCCAACCCCCTATCTTCTGCTCCTGACCAGCCTCCTTGACCAGGTTCTTGGCCTTGGTTTCAGAGAAGGACGATGTCTCATAGAAGCGGTAGTGTTCCCTCGAATGGTTGAAGTTGTGGAATGGGACACTCTTCAAGTAGACAACCAAGGCAGAGAGGGATGGACACAACATGGGCTTGGATTTCTGGAAAAGGAGAAAGTGGAGGGGAAGATGAATCATCTATGAGCAATCTGAGAGAGAGGATGGCAATTCAAGATTCAAACTTCTCCCATCCTATGCCCACTGCTTCCACACTGTGTTCTTTCTCTTGCCTTACCTACTTGGACAAGAGAAGGGACCCAGGCTTGTAGATAGGAGCTTAGGCTATAGTCTTAACAAGTAGGCGGACAAAACAGTTGGCATGCCACACAACCTAGGGGTAGGACTGGGAATCCAGGCAGTCTGTCTGTGATGATGGGATCAGTTTCCACCTCTAGCCTTGGAGGGTCTGCTCTGTGTTAGATCCTGGATAACAGGCTTTTGTCATTATTTTAACAGAACAGTCAGCCTCCTTACCTTCTTTTAACACAATTTAACAATAATTCAGATCAATATATCTGGTATACAAATGGTAATGGAAATCACATCCTTCCAGAGTGTGAGGGTCCGAGAGCAATGTCTTTGAATTTGTCTCCTGAATTCCCATTTCCATTCCTGGTCATGACCGTGGATTAGATACAACGGCCCTGGAGAGACAGAATAAACTATAAGTCCATCAACTGAGCCAAGCCGATGCACAAGGGAGAGAGATGCAGGTTTAAAACCAGGATCTTAAAGGGCTCTTCATCAATGGCACCTCTTCCCCACAAGGAGAAGCTTTTTCAGAGCCTGTCATCTCCCCCCACCTCAAAGCTCTGTCTCCTTCCTGCTCCTCTTTGACAATTTCTTGTCTCTTCTCAAATTCATCTTTTCCAAGAAACTTTCTCAAATTAGGCTCACTTTGGTTGAGGTTGTAGCACACTGATCATTCCAGTAGTCCCTGTTTACCCAGGCGGCACATACACACATACACACACACTTATCAGTGGTTTTCAAACTGGTCCTTAAGGAGATTGAGAAGTTGCACAAAGATGTCTCAGGAGTCCAGGGGCCTCCTGGGAGTGCTTTTACTAGGATGGCTCTGTATTGATCTGTTTTGTATTCCGAGCTTCCATATAAATTTCATTTAAAAGAAGGGTTTCATTATGACAAAAATGAAGACGACTTAGTTTCACATGTAGATGGTTCAGTAATTTTGAGGCAGGAGTGGCATAGTTTAGCAACCACACTGGTTACAAGTTGGGCTGCTAATCTCAAAGTCAGCAGTTGGAAACTACCAGCAGTTCTACAGGAGAAAGACGACACTTTCTGCTTCTGTAAAGATATACAGCCTCAGAAACCCTATACAGGGTCGCTATGAGTCAGAACCAACTCTATAGTACATAACCACCACCACCACCAGTAAACATTATCTAACTATGGTCAATGTTTTATTCATACTAGTTGATCATTTTCAGATTGTTCATATTTTTTCTTGAAGAAGAATAAGCTTTTTCAAGTTGATTTTCAAGCATTTTATATTCTAACTTGACAAATGAAGATGTAAATTCTGAGTTAAATGTATCTGAGCTGCTTTACAATGTTTTTCAGTACTGTGTTAAATTTTAAATTTGAGCGTAGAGCACTTTATTGGTCTGTGCCACCCAGGTAAGAAGGGAATGTCAACATTAAATGTATGACTTTTGGTACAAAAAAAATTTTTTTTAATTTAAAAAATTAAAGAAATAAAAGAAGGATTTTGTGGCCTAAGGAAGTTGGGAAGTCACTGTGATAAATCTACATATTTTTTGTTGTTAAGTGTCATCAAGTTGGTTCCCGCTCACAGCAACCCTGTATAGGTTATCTTTGATATCCCATGCTAGTAAAGTTTTACTAAAAGTAATTCAGAAATGGCTACAAGCATACATTGACAGAGAACTTTCAGAGTTTCAAGCCAGATTCAGAAGAGGCTGTGGAACAAGGGATATCGTTGCTGATGTCTGATGGATCTTGGTTGAAAGCAGAGAATATCAGAAAGATGTTTACCTGTGCTTTATTGACTATGCAAAGGCTTTTGATTGTGTGAATCATGACAAGCTATGGACAACATTACAAAGAGTGAGTATTCCAGAACACTTGATTGTGCTCATGAGGAATCTGTACATGGACCAAGAGGCAGTTGTTTGAACAGAACATGGGAACACTGAATGGTTTAAAATTAAGAAAGGTGTGTGACAAGGTTGTATTCTTTCACTATACTTATTCAACCTGTATGCTGTGCAAATAATCCTAGAAGCTGGGTTATATGAAGAAAAACGTGGCATCGGGATTGGAGGAAAACTCATTAACAACCTGCAATATGCAGATAATACAACCTTGCTTGATGAAAGTGAAGAAGACTTAAAATATTTACTGATGAAGATCAAAGAGCACAGCCTTTGGTATGGATTGCATCTCAATATAAAAAAAGTAAAAATCCTCACCACTGGGCCAATAAACAACATTCTTATCAATGGAGAAAAGATTGAAGTTGTCAAGGACTTCACTCTTCTTGGATTAACTATCAACATTCATGGAAGCAGCAGTCAAGAAATCAAACAATGTATTGCATTAGGCAAATCTGCTGCACAAGACCTTTTTAAAGTGTTGAAGAGCAAAGATGTCTGCTTGAGGACCAAGGTGCGCCTGACCCAAGCCATGGTATTTTCAATAACCTCATATGCATGCAAAAGCTGGACAGTGAATAAGGAAGACCATAGAATTGATGCTTTTGAGTTATGGTGTTGGAGGAGAATATTGAGAGTGCCATGGGCTGCCAAAAGAACCAACAGATCTGTGCTGGAAGAAGTGCAGCCAGAGTGCTCCTTGGAGGCCAGGATGGCCAAACTTTGTCTCTCATACTTCAGACATATTGTCAGAAGGGACCAGTTGCTGGAGAAAGATATCATATTTGGTAAGGCGGAGGGCCAGAGAAAAAGAGGAAGACCCCCAATGAGATGGATTGGCAAAGTGACAGTATCAATGGGCTCAAGCGTGGCAATGACAGTGAGGTTGGCCCAGGATCGGGCAGTGTTTTGTTCTGCTGTGCATAAGGTCACTGTGAGTCAGTCCGGACTCGATGGCACCTAACAACAACAACATAGGGTTTCCAATCAGTGGCTGGTGATTTTGAACCACTGACCTTGCAGTTCAATCTGACCTTATAGTCAAGTGCTTATCCTGCAGCACCACACCAGGACACCAAATCTACACTATATAATATATGGTGTTGTAATGCATGTACTCTCATGCCTCTTTCATTGGGAGGAGAAGGCATCTTGTTCCCTGTGCATTACCCTGCCTGACTATATATGTCTCTTTTCAAATAAGCTCCATAGCTTGTGGTACAGGCTGACCAAATACCATTGCAGACAAAGACCACTCCTGGCTCACCCTCTTCTTTTTGTCCTTACTCCGAGGGCTCAACTCCTGGGGCTCAGGTTCTGGCTCCGGCTCCAACTCTGGCTCCGGCTCCGGCTCCAACTCTGCCTCTGTCTCCGGCTCGGGCTCCGGCTCCAGCTCCGGCTCCGGCTCCGGCTCCGGCTCCGGCTCCGGCTCTCCCTGGGCCTCTAGCCTGAGGTCTAACTCTGGTTCCTCCTCCTCTTCTTCAAGATCCTCTTCAAGAGTCCTTGACTTCTTTCCCTTCAGTAGAATTTTCCTTCGAAGCTCCTGGGGCACAAAAATGCAGGGGTCTCTGTACCTATCTGTTCTGGGACTCTCCTGGGGGTCGTGAAGGCTCTTACTGCTCTCACGGGATCGCCTCAAAGGCAGAGTGGATATGTGATGGTCAGAAGTTCCCACAGGGAAATGGGCTGGCTGCTTGGTACATAGAGTAGGGAGTCCCCTCTTGTTAGCAAACTGGGACATTTCTATCCATATGGAAAAAAATAAATGAAGACCCCTACCTCACATCTGACACATAGATTAAAGTTTACATGTAAAAAATGATATGAAAGTACTAGAAGAAAATAGAGAATCTTCTTAAGTAATATTATGTGTAAGGAACCCTGGTGGTGCTGTAGAATAAATATGAGGCTGCTAACTGCTAGGTCGGCAGTTCAAACCCACCAGCCGCTCCATGGGAGAAAAAAGACGCTTTCTGCTCCCATAAAGACTTACAACCTCACAAACCCTATACAGGGTCACTATGAGTCAATTTGATGGCAGTAGGTTATCATGTGAAAGCCTTTAGAAATATGGTATGAAATCCAAAATACATAAAAGGAAAAACTGATGATTTTGACTACATAAAGCATAAGAATCTGCAGAAGGCAGGAGATACTATATATAAAGAAATAGACTACAAAAAATATTTCCCAGAACATTAATATATATCATATTTAAAGAAGTGTTATGTATCAATAAAAATCATAAGCCCTAATAAAAATGAATAAATAGTATCTACGAATAATTTAAAAGAAAACAAACATGAACTTTTTTACTCATTTGAAAAATCTGAACTTTTTTCATGTTTGCCATTATAAAACATTTCGCTCTTGGAGCTAATTGTAGTCACTATCTTATACTGGACTCCTGGTGTGGTGTAGAATCACCACTGAACTGTGAACCACAAGGTCAGCAGTTCAAATCCACCAGATGCCCCTTTGGAACTCTACACAGGATGGCTATGAGTTAGAACTGACTCGACAGCATTTAACAACAACAACAACAATCTGATACTAATGGTTGGAGTATCATTTGCTATGTTTTCCAGAGATAATTTAGCAATAACAACCAAAATTGTCAGCACGCAAACTCTTCAACCCAACTATTTTGCTTCTAAGAATCTCCCTCAAAGGTTTAATACAAAATAGTTGGTAAAGTTGGGTGTAGAAGTGAAAAATTATAAACAACCTAAACATGGGGAACTGGTTAAATAAACAATGATCTATGACATGGCATGAGATGCTATAAAGCTTTTAAAAACAGCAACAATGAAACATGAAAAGACATCCATGGCATAGCTTGTATGTGAGATATATAAAAAAGATGTAGAACATGATCACATTTATGTCTTTTTTTCATGTGAACATATAAACACATGTGAATAATATAAGCATTTAAAAATCTGTTAACTGCCGTTATTATGGGAAAGGTTGGGATTGTGAGAGGGTTTGGATTTCCTTTATCTATATTGTTTGCATATTCTATAATAATTATGAACTATCAGGGGAAAAGTAAGATATTTCCACAGAAAAATATATAAAGCATTGATTTAAAATTTAGAGAACTATAAACAGAATTCTATGTGTGGTATGGTACTGTTAAATAAACACTGGACAGTTTGTATTTGTTCAAGTTGTCTCTGAGAATGCTAATGGGAATGATAGTCCATCTGAGAATGGAAAGGAAGGAGCAAGAGGATTTGGAAGTCACAGTGCTGGTCTGGGAGGACAGCGCTCCTACCTCAGGTGAGGGCAGCTGGATGGGCAGCTGTCCGTCCAAGGTAGTGCTCAACAGCTGCTCCCCCAGGATCTCGGTCAGATGGTGCGCCATGACCTCCTGTTGCTCCAGGCTGCAGTGGTTCTCCAAGGACAAGATAACTGGGTAGTCTGATGTCTAGTGGTGAGAGAAGGGAATGCTGGTTACAGAGATCTAAAGCCCTATAACCTCCTGGTTTCTCCAAATACCAGCTTTCTAGCGCTCCACCCTCCATTCCCCCGGTTACTACTTACTCTACTGAGTATTTTGATTTCTCAGCTGTTCCAATCCCATTACAGAGCTTAAAGAGGACTTGCTTGTGTCTGAAGTCCATCCCTGGAACACTACCCACATCTTACAGTCACTCTTGGGACCCCAAATCTCATGCCTGGGCCAGGTCTGATCAAGGTCCCTATAGGCCTTTGAGTTTTCCAGCTCAGAAAGAGTGGGAAAGCTACGCCATGGTACTCTCATGCTACGGTAAGGCTCTCAGAGAGCTCCAGATAACTCTACCCACCACTTTATGTCTGTTTCCTTATCCACCCTCTCCCAAGTCCTTGCTGTTAGAAGTTAGTAGTTAGTTTGTTGTTGTTAAGTGATATCCAGTCAGAGTTAGTTTCGACTCATAGCAACCCTGTATGGAGTTTCCCAGGAGCAGCTGGTGAGCTTAAACTGCTGTTCAAACCGACCTTGCAAGTTCAGCGCACTAACCTGCAGCGCCATACCAGGACTCCTAATAGTTACTAACCACTAGTAATTACATCTATGACTACTCATTAGTGGTAAAACATTCAACATTCATTCATAATAATTCATAATGTCGGTCTGGTGCTTTACAATTTAAATCTCTTTTACTCATATCAAATCGTATGACACCTCTCTTGCTTCATCAATATTCCCAATCTAGACACCTACCTGGAAGGCATACTGAGCTACTGTGGCCACAACATCTTGGAACAGGATGCGAGAGGTCAGGGTGTGTCCATGGTAAACAATGGGTTCCCCATTAGGTCCATCCCAGACATCCACCTCCACACAGCGGCATCCCCGTCTTAGGGCCCTGCAGGAAGCCAGCCCCCAGGGACAGTAGAGGTCAAGAACTGATCTTCAGCCCACTCTGGAGAGCACTTAGCCCTCAAGAGCCTTCTCTGTCCTCTGGGACACTACTGCAACTCCCACAGATTGTCCCCATCTCCACCCAACTCAGCAGTCCTTCCGTACAACCCATCACACTTTGTTTCATGATGCCTCTGGTGCTCAGTTGTGTATCTTTATACAATTCTGGGTTATTCTAGCTCCTAATAAAGTTAAGTTCTGTTTTCTCAACTGGATTATAATCTTCCTAGGGCAGAAGATTATATGCCTTTGAATTGTGGTGTTGGAGGAGAATACTAAAAGTGCCATGGACTGCCAAAAGAACCAATAGATCTGTTTTGGAAGAAGTGCAGCCAGAGTGCTCCTTGGAGGCCAAGATGGCTAAACTTCGTTTCTCATACTTTGGACATGTTGTCAGGAGGGAACAGTCGCTGGAGAAGGATGTCATGCTGGGTAAGGTGGAGGGTCAGAGAAAGAGAGGAAGACTCCCAACGAGATGGATTGGCCAGGTGGCATCATTGATGGACTCAAGTGTGACAGCGGTAGTGAGGTTGGCCCAGGATCGGACATTGTTTCATTCTGCTGTGCATGGGGTCACTATGAGTTGGTTCTAACTCGATGGCACCTGACAACAACAACAGGGCAGAAACGATGTGTTTCATTCATCTTTGTATCCTGTGAAGCTACTAGTTCAGTTGTTAGCACTGCAAAAATATCTTGACTATTCGATCTAGTCCATAATTAATCACAATTAACGCAGTTACAACTTATAGTCAGGGGAGCATGGTGACTACAGAGTATAAGAACTGAACTACAAACCACATGGTAGGTGGTTCGAACCCATCAGGAGAAAGATGAGGCTTTCTGCTCCTGCAAAGATTTTTAACAGCCTTGAAAATCCTATATAGATCACTGTGGGTTGGCTCCGACTCCACATAAGGCACTTAACAACAACAGCAAGGTATAGTCAGGTCCCTAAGTGGCACAAATAGCTAGCATTCAATTACTAACCTAAAGGTCCAACCTTTAGGTTAGTAATTGGATGTGGACCTTTAAGTTAGTAATTGAATGCTAGCTATTTGTGCCACTTAGGGACCTGACTATACCTTGCTGTTGTTGTTAAGTGCCTGATAAGGGACCTGCTTCCCCTATGAAAACCCTGTAGAACAATTCTATTGTGTAATACCTAGAGTTGTCATGAGTTAGAATGGATTCACATCAACGGTTATCCTATTAACTGAGTGTTAACACATGGATTAGCCCTTTATCCTCGCAGCAACCCAGACAGAATAGGCACTGCTATCATCTCAGCTTCATAGATAAGGAAACTCAGGCAAAGAGAGGTTAAGTACTAGTATTTGAACTCAGATGGTTTGACTCATGTTTTAATTCCTTTGTTCTACTGCCTTCTAGGACTCCTGGTATGGTGCTGTAGGATCAGCACTGGACTGCGAACCACAAGGTCGGCAGTTCAAACCCACCAGCTGCTCCTTAGAAACCCTATATAGGGTTGTGATAAGTTGAACCAACTCGATGGCACTTAACAACAACAACTGTCTTCTGTTTATCTGAAGACAGAAATTTGTCAGGACCCCTAAATTCCAAGAGTTTCCTAGTTTATGAAAGAGAAGCTCTGTTCAGCCACAGCTTTCATTACTTCCTCCAGACTCCAGTATCTCCTGCGGTTCTCTGGGATATTTAACCCCTCCAGTACCTTTTCAATCCCTGTTATCCACTGACACCCCTCCTCAACCTCCCACAGTTTCCCACAAATTGTCCCTCTCAGGAGTTGAACTTTCTCTCCTCCCACAGCACCGTATATATCCTTCAAGGCTGCTCTGGCCACAAAGCTGGTCCCCCACTAGGTAGGTGTTGTGAGAGGAGTTGATGTAGTAATGGCTCAGAGGTCGGGTCATATCCTGGTAGATGGGACAGCAGGCTGGGTTGAAGATGTTCCCATCCTTGGAGCAGAGGTAGTTAAGGAAGCCATCCATGCTCAGCACGTGCCGCCGTTTGCCTAGGGTGTAGGATGAGAAAACACTAGAATGAGAAGCTCTGAGTGGGGACTCCCAGCACAACTACAACCCATCCTCCACCCCATCTCACCCTCTTCAGGAACCTGCCTTTCCTGCTCGTCTCTAAATCCCAGACTTACTCCACCAAGCATCTATCATTCCCACCCTCAGAGAATGTGAAAGATTCAGTGGGGAATCATCAAAATATTTCTAGACCTGCACTGCCTAATAGAAATGTTTATAGCAATGGAAACTTTCTGTTCTGTAATGTCCATCCAATATGGCAGCTTCTCACCACACAGGCTTGAAATGTACCTTGTGTGACTGAAGAACTGGATTTTAAATTGTATTTCACTTTAATTAATTTAAATAGCCATGTGAGTTCATGGCTAATGAACAGCACAGTATCTTGTCTAAAGGACTAATTTTATAGATGGGGAAACAGGCCCAGAGAAAATCAGAGTCAGGGGCTTATTAAGTGATACAGCCGAGATACCTGTATTATTTTTTCCCTGGGCTATGTGTTGTTGTTATTAAGCATTGTCGAGTTGGTTCCGACTCATAGTGACCCTGTATAAGGTTTCCAAGGAGCAGCTGGGGGACTTGAACTGCTGACCTTGTGGTTAGCAGTCCCGTGCTTATTCTATAGCACCACACCAGGCATCCAGATGTTGTCAATTATGATCTATCATCAATATACCCATATGGTGTTTTGAAGGCCATTTGTCCACCATCACTTTGGACTGCAATCTCTGAGGACGAGGCCTTGTCTGTCACTCCTCCATTAACCCTCACCATTCCAGCATGTGGTTGTTGTTAAGTGCTATCAAGTCGATTCCAACTCATAGTGATCCTGTATTGAGTTTCCTAGGCTTTTTAAAAAAAATCTTTGCAGGAGCAGAAAGCCTTATTTTACTCCATGGAGTGATTGGTGGCCTCGAACCACAGGCCTTGTAGATCTCAGTCTGGTGCTTATCATATGGAGCTACCACATTCCCCATTCCAGCATGGGCTTCTTATAATAGCCATGAAGACTGATAGTTATTGAGCACTTGCTTCCTGCTGAGCACTTGACCGGCAGCATCTTACTTAATATGCTCACTAACACAATGAGGTAGGTATACTATAAGTCGCCCTCAGTTGCTAATTTGTCCAAGCTCACATAACCAATAATTGGAGGGACTGGTGTTTGAACTTCAGTAGCCAGAACTACCCTGAACTGTCCCATCTCACTGAGGGTAACATTACTGAAGCGAGGCTCCTTGAAAAGGAGAACAACTAGACTCTCAAGTCCCGGATTTGATAAAGCCAGGAGATGGTTTAGAATGGCAGGAAGTTAGACAGCCAGTTTCATTCTAACAATAATGACTCGGATCACTTGAGTAAGTCACAGTTGCCAGAGACTTTTAATGTGCATTATTATTGGATCAACAATTACTTTGCAAAAGAGGAAATTGAGAGGTTAAGTGACTTGCCCACATGCCTCTTAACTTGAAGAAATAAGTCTGCCAGGCTCTTAAGAGTTTCCTAGTTAATGAAAGGGAAAGTCTGTGAGCAAGTCACTAACTTCTCTGAGACTCGATTTCCTCTTTTGTGAAGTAACCGGTGACCAAATGAAATAATGCACATTAAATGTATCTGGCAACCTGTACCTACCCTAGTGATATGTAAAAAGCTTGTCAGAAGCAGAGTTGGGACTTGAGCCCAGGTTTCCTGACTCAGTATTGTTCTCTGCTACTAGACATATGCTCCTTCCTGGAAGGACTAATTACTGAGTGCAAGGGAAGGGAACACCAAGGCAGTGGAGAGTTGTAGAACAAATATCACCAATAGATATTGGACCCTGCACCAGGAACAAAAGATCCTTTTTCTTAACTCTCTGACCTACCTTTTCTATTTAAATTTTTGAAATGATTCGTTTATAACCCCTATTCTTCTATGAAACTGAACTTCTGGTGGGTGTGGCGCTGTAGGATCAGCACTGGACTGCAAACCACAACATTGGCAGTTTAAACCCACTAGCTGCTCCTCAGAAACCCTATATAGGGTTGCTATGAATCAGAACTGACTCAAAGGCACTTGACAACAACAACAACAAATTCTTCTATGAGCACCCACAGAAATCTGGAATCAGCAATGAAGACCACAACTTTGTAAGACAATCAACTCTAGGAGGGCAGTGTCTTTGTCTAATTTATTTCCCATGATCTCTCTGGTGACTAGCATTTAAGTCCTGACATGTTAAGTCGTTAAAAGCTGTCGAGTAGAGTAGAGTTGGTTCCAACTCATAGTAACCCTGTTTAGGGTTTCCAAGGCTGTAAATCTTTATGGGAACAGAAAACATCTTTTGCCCATGGAACACCTGGTAGATTCAAACTGCTGACTTGGTAAATTCACATTGCGATTAGCAACCCAACTTGTAGCACACTATGTTACTGGCTCCTTTGACGTGTCATAGAGACTCAAAAACCTTAGGTGAAACAGTAAATGAATAAATGAATGGGAGTGGAAGCTGAGACAGCTCTCCTTCATCCCATCTCTAATCTTCATTTTCAAGAGGCACCAGGTAGAACCTGAAGCCTGATTCCTCTTCTCACTAGCTGTTGGCTTTGAGCAAGTCATTTAATCTTTCTAAACCTCAATTTTCCTCTTTTGTTAAAACTGACTTAGTAATAAGATCTATGGCTTAGGGGATACTGATCATCAAAGTGATTAAAAAATTTGGAAATAGATAATACTGATGGTTGTACCCCATGATGAATGAATGTCGCTGAATTTTGTTTGTGAAGAATGTTGAAATGGCAACTATTTTGCTACATATATATTAACCACAATATAAGAGAAAAAATAAAATATTTTTCATTGGGTCATTGCAAGGATGAGCAGAAAACAGGCATGTAGAGATAGATATTAACATACTATCAGATACTTAGCAAAGGCCCAATAAAGATGATTGCTGTTGGCTTACAGGGTTGTAGTAAGAACTAACCAAAGTCAGGTACATGAAAGTGCCTTGTAAATCATTTATTATTAATATTATAAGTTCCCCACAGTCTAAGGAAAATGGAGGGTAGGAGTCTACTGATTACAGCAAGACTCATTCCCACCGCCTCCACACACAGAGTAGACAGGGATGGGCAACTTGGTCCTTGGCTGCCCAAAATGGGGGTGGGGAGCTACAAAGGCAAGAAGTGACTGGCTTACAAGCTTTCAAGAGGGAACCTAGAGCCAGGGGGCCTGGAGGAAGTCAGAATCTCCAGTGAGTAGTATCCAATCTGTCTAGGCGGAGCTGATGAAATGGAATGCAGATGGGTCTCTTGTGATACAATAGTGAATAATAGTTATCAGGACTGATTGTGAGGGTTGGAAATGTAAAGGTAGACATTTTAT